AATAAAAAATAAAGAAATAAAATAAAAGTGAATATAAAGTGTAGCGCAAAAAAATATAGAGTACACTCTAAAATAGATAAGAAATTAGAAAAGTGTATATTTATGGTGTTATTCTTACTCCAAGTTGAGGAAATTTGTACGCATATAAAAATAAAAAAAACAGCCAATAGTGTAATCCTGTAATACAGAAATATAGCAACAAAAATATATGACTTAATTCGTATAAGGATTCTAACTCATATCAACTGCAACTGTCACTAGTCTAATACTATCCTTACCTTTTCTGTGTCACTATACCCCACTCCCTCTAACATGTAAACTCACTGAGCAGGGCCCGCAATCCCTCTGTTACTGTGTCCACTATACCCCACTCCCTCTAACATGTAAACTCACTGAGCAGGGCCCTCAATCCCTCTGTTACTGTGTCACTATACCCCACTCCCTCTAACATGTAAACTCACTGAGCTGGGCCCTCAATCCCTCTGTTACTGTGTCACTATATCCCACTCCCTCTAACATGTAGACTCACTGAGCAGGGCCCTCAATCCCTCTGTTACTGTGTCACTATACCCCACTCCCTCTAACATGTAAACTCACTGAGCAGGGCCCTCAATCCCTCTGTTACTGTGTCACTATACCCCACTCCCTCTAACATGTAAACTCACTGAGCAGGGCCCTCAATCCCTCTATTACTGTCACTATACCCCACTCCCTCTAACATGTAAACTCACTGAGCAGGGCCCTCAATCCCTCTGTTACTGTGTCACTATACCCCACTCCCTCTAACATGTAAAACTCACTGAGCAGGCCCTCAATCCCTCTGTTACTGTGTCACTATACCCCACTCCCTCTAACACATGTAAACTCACTGAGCAGGCCCTCAATCCCTCTGTTACTGTGTCACTATACCCCACTCCCTCTAGCATGCAAACTCACTGAGCAGGGCCCTCAATCCCTCTGTTACTGTGTCACTATACCCCACTCCCTCTAACATGTAAACTCACTGAGCAGGCCCTCAATCCCTCTGTTACTGTCACTATCCCCCACTCCCTCTAGCATGTAAACTCACTGAGCAGGGCCCTCAATCCCTCTGTTACTGTGTCACTATACCCCACTCCCTGTAACATGTAAACTCACTGAGCAGGCCCTCAATCCCTCTATTACTGTGTCACTATACCCCACTCCGTCTAACATGTAAACTCACTGAGCAGGGCCCTCAATCCCTCTGTTACTGTCACTATACCCCACTCCCTCTAACATGTAAACTCACTGAGCAGGGCCCTCAATCCCTCTGTTACTGTGTCACTATACCCCACCCCCTCTAACATGTAAACTCACTGAGCAGGGCCCTCAATCCCTCTGTTACTGTCACTATACCCCACTCCCTCTAACATGTAAACTCACTGAGCAGGGCCCTCAATCCCTCTGTTACTGTGTCACTATACCCCACTCCATCTAACATGTAAACTCACTGAGCAGGGCCCTCAATCCCTCTGTTACTGTGTCACTATACCCCACTCCCTCTAACATGTAAACTCACTGAGCAGGGCCTCCAATCCTCCTTTTACTGTGTCACTATACCCCCTCCCTCTAACATGTAAACTCACTGAGCAGGGCCTCAATCCCTCTCTGTTACTGTGTCACTATATACCCCTCCCTCTAACATGTAAACTCACTGAGCAGGGCCCTCAATCCCTCTGTTACTGTGTCACTATACCCCACTCCCTCTAGCATGTAAGCTCACTGAGCAGGCCCTCAATCCTCTGTTACTGTGTCACTATACCCCACTCCCTCTAACATGTAAACTCACTGAGCAGGGCCCTCAATCCCTCTGTTACTGTGTCACTATACCCCACTCCCTCTAACATGTAAACTCACTGAGCAGGCCCTCAATCCCCTTGTTACTGTGTCACTATACCCCACTCCCTCTAACATGTAAACTCACTGAGCAGGGCCCTCAATCCCTCTGTTACTGTGTCACTATACCCCACTCCCTCTAACATGTAAACTCACTGAGCAGGCCCTCAATCCCTCTGTTACTGTGTCACTATACCCCACTCCCTCTAACATGTAAACTCACTGAGCAGGGCCCTCAATCCCTCTGTTACTGTGTCACTATACCCCACTCCCTCTAACATGTAAACTCACTGAGGATGCCCTCAATCCCTCTGTTACTGTGTCACTATACCCCACTCCCTCTAACATCTAAGCTCACTGAGCAGGCCCTCAATCCCTCTGTTACTGTGTCACTATACCCCACTCCCTCTAACATGTAAACTCACTGAGTAGGCCCTCAATCCCTCTGTTACTGTGTCACTATACCCCACTCCCTCTAACATGTAAACTCACTGAGCAGGCCCTCAATCCCTCTGTTACTGTGTCACTATACCCCACTCCCTCTAACATGTAAACTCACTGAGCAGGTCCCTCAATCCCTCTGTTACTGTGTCACTATACCCCACTCCCTCTAACATGTAAACTCACTGAGCAGGCCCTCAATCCCTCTGTTACTGTGTCACTATACCCCACTCCCTCTAACATGTAAACTCACTGAGCAGGCCCTCAACCCCTCTGTTCCTGTGCGTTCAACTCGTCTGGTTACATGTCTGTTAGTCCACCCATTGTACAGCGTTACAGAAATTGTTAATAAAGTCTTCCCATGCATTGAATTCTCTAGAGTGCTCCTTTTGCTTGGCTTGTCAAAGAGCCCTCGGACAAACAATTCTCATGTCTCTCGAGACTTGCCTGGGACAGTGACAAAAATGATTTGTCAATGTAGACAATGGCATGTCCGAACCCCCTTAAATATTATATTACGCTGCCCATTAGAGATAGGATAGGGCACGTTTTCATCCAGACACTCAGAATGATAGAGTGAGGGAAACCAACAGAGTCAGAAAGATGGTGAGAGAGGCAGATACAAATATCAAACTGTCAAGAGACATAGTACTTTCAACCGACCAATTGAATTCCTAGGTATGTGCCAAGTGTCACAGAATTCTGGGGAAAGTCCCTTAGTTTGATTTCGGCCCCTTAATCCTGCCATCTTGGCATGAGTCCGAGGTTTTAAATCTAAGCCAGTAGTTAAAGAAGAACTTACACCCCAGTAACTGCTATAAAAGTGCTTACAGGCGGGAGGTGTGCCGAGGAGTAAAATCTAAAAAACACTTACCTCTGCAGAACTGATGCGTTAAAAAGGTGGACGTAGGCTGATTGACACTTTAAGGTCGTTACGTCATCATTAAAGCACATCTTTAAATGTCGCAGATAGAGTTAGACAGAAATTGACATGACCTGGCTAAGAGTTACTAGAGTTACAGTCCTCAGAGTTAGGGGTGTTCATTGCAGGACCACAGTATTCAATGGATGTCTCTTACTTATTGCCAGCTCTCCATGTTGACCACCCATCTCTCTGTTTAATGCTCTGTTCCCTTTTAACTGCCCCTACTGTGCATTCTTCCCCCTTCCCTGACCTGCGCCCTGCAAGCCCCCCAACTGCCCCGGTCTACGCTTATTGTCCCACTTGTTCATTCTGACCCCTTTCTCACACTGGATAATGTATGTCTCGCTCTCATGGACATTGACTAATGTCTCCCGGTCATTGCGTAAAGCCTCCTGGTCATTGTGTAAAGACTCCCGGTTATTGAGTAAAATCTCCCTCCATTTGGTTTCCATTCAGAGCCTTCTGCGTGGTGACAGTAAAGGCCCAGCCTTTCAGCACATCCTCCCATGTTATGTTCAGGAAGATGGCGTAGGCCGTGGGATTTGTTCACCTCCTCAGTCACTGAGTAGAATATTCCTGATGGGAGACGATTTGGACAAAAAAAAGTTGTTGCTTAGGATCCTGAGCTATGGATAGAGAATTCCTGCCAAGTCGAAGCTCAGGGCATCGCGCAGTGACAGGGGAATTCTTCCTAAAGGCTGGTTTTAATACGCATCACATTCATCCAGAGACACTCTGCTCAGGTTGTGTCTTGTACGTGTTTGGGCCCTAAGTAAGACATTATGGACGGCCCTGCTGGACTGGAGTTAACGATCGGTGGATGTTATCCCTGGTCGTACTCCGTGTTCGATTAAGTGATTTGATAATGTTGGTCTCTAAAAGGCTTATTTAACTGACTGTATAGTGAGCCTGTAACCTCGGACCCAGAGACTACTTGGCAGCTCCGGCAGAGACATGCTCATATGGATCTCGTATTAAAGTGGGGTCTAGTTACAATGGGGTCATTCCAGTGCGGCATCAGGCAGCGTTACCTGACGTGAATGAGCTATTTATGGACAGGATAGTGTGACAGTGCTTGGTACCCCACTGCCTCCGGTAAGCACTTTGCGGCCCAGCAAGTCATTGAAGCTGTCTCGATGAGTCGTGCACTCTCTTTATTTGGGGTAATTGGTCGCTATAGCCTGAAATCCTCCCAAAGATAAAACACTTGTGTAAGTAAGGTTTGTGTTTCAGTTTATATTCCGACTTGCTCTTCACAAATTACATCATGTGATGCCCCCTGCTGGCCAAACACTGGAACCAGCAATTGTCAAAAAAGCTTTTAGCTATAAAATAATAATTAATGGTTAATAAACTCGATTTTCTTTGCTGCAGTTCAAAGTTGGCATAATTATTCCCTGACACGGCAGCGCTATTGAATCAAACACGTAACATTAAAGAATACGCTCTAATTTAAAAAAAAAAAAAATAGAATAAATGATATTTTAATAAAATGTGTTCCTTTTGTTGTTTAGACTACTTTTCCCCTTAAAACAAAATAAAACAACCCCCTTTATTCTGGCCCTGGGCCAGTGACCGATTCTTCTCCAGGGCACACATCAAACCTGATGACTTTTACCCAATGCTGCGCATGTGGCACGATTCCCACTCTGTATACTGTGCATGTGGGCAGCACATGCCATACAGATTCAATAACTCACTCAATTTCTGCCAGAAAAACCCCAAGTGGCTGAGTGACAGCCGTCTGGGCACAGCAGCTATTACAACAGAGTCCCAAAATCACTTCATTAATATATTCATGCATAGAATGCCCTCATTAATGGGAGCAAATAGGTTTCAACAGTGCCATCTAGTGGCAAAAAAGAGATTACAATTACAGAAAGTGGTTCACAATAGCACCATCTAGTGGCAGAAGATTATAGGTTAGTTCAGTCAGGTAGGTAGCCTTTGGTTCTACATCTCCCCTGATGCTTTGCCAGAATAATGGATGTAAGTGTATTATGGGAAATGAAGTCTGTCGGGAGTGTGAAGGTGGCCATATCTTTTCCCATTGTTTTTCAATGCAATGTTCATGTAGTTTTTATTGCGTATTTGCAGTCTGTTAGTATTTTACGTGGGATTATTCATTTTTGGGGATATAGAATCTGTTGGGAAAACTTGTGCATTTTAAAACATGTTTATTGCTCCCCGTTTCCCATCTTTACATACCTAACGCCATCCCATCTAGTCCATGCAATATCTCCCAGTTAGCTTCCTTTATATCATTCCTTACCATCGTCCCCAATTACCTCCTCAACCTCGTCATATTTTAGCAATCTGTGCAATGTTACCTTCAAACCTGCCCCAAGTCCCTTTCGTAATCTTTAGAGCAAAACAAAACTACAACTCCCATGATGCGCTGCATGCCTTCAGAATGACAAAGCAACCTGGAAGCGGTTGTTTTAAAACATCTGGGGATCTACCTTTTGGATACCCCCGCTTTAGAGTGTAAGCTCACGGTCCATTTTGCTCAGTACTTGGTGTAAATGCTAGATCTGTATTGCGTTGTGTATACTGTACTGTCGGTAATAATATTAAAGGAACACTATAGTCACCTAAATTACTTTAGCTAAATAAAGCAGTTTTAGTGTATAGATCATTCCCCTGCAATTTCACTGCTCAATTCACTGTCATTTAGGAGTTAAATCACTTTGTTTCTGTTTATGCAGCCCTAGCCACACCTCCCCTGGCTATGATTGACAGAGCCTGCATGAAAAAAAACTGGTTTCACTTTCAAACTGATGTAATTTACCTTAAATAATTGTATCTCAATCTCTAAATTGAACTTTAATCACATACAGGAGGCTCTTGCAGGGTCTAGCAAGCTATTAACATAGCAGGGGATAAGAAAATCTTAATTAAACAGAACTTGCAATAAAGAAAGCCTAAATAGGGCTCTCTTTACAGGAAGTGTTTATGGAAGGCTGTGCAAGTCACATGCAGGGAGGTGTGACTAGGGTTCATAAACAAAGGGATTTAACTCCTAAATGGCAGAGGATTGAGCAGTGAGGCTGCAGGGGCATGTTCTATACACCAAAACTGCTTCATTAAGCTAAAGTTGTTCAGGTGACTATAGTGTCCCTTTAATAATACCCCTGGTAATAGAAGGATCCAGGTATTGTTCTCAAGGGAAACACAGAGGAGTCTATTGGCTACACGGTGAATTGAATATTATATAATCGAAATGGCAAAACTGGGGTAAAAATAGGCGGTCTCTCTATGGAAAGCCACTGTCAGCAGCCCATAAGCTTCCAGAAGCCATTCATGGGGTTGTCTCCTGTAATCCGGGAATAGATAGATATGCATTCTGTACTAAACAGCTTACTCTCTACATCGAGGTGTAACATGTAAATGGTATCTCAGCAGGTGAGTAAAATTCTTTCTCTGGCCTTGAGATGATCATGGAGGTGATTGCTCAGCGTGACATGAACGGACATTCATAACCAGGCAGACTCAGATTGTGCCCCCCAAAGAAGGTAAGAGTTCATACAAATATGAACCAGGGGTACTGTGCATGTAACATGCATGTGCTTGGTGTTGTGTGTGAAATGTGCATCGTGTATATGTTGCATGTGTTGTGTGTAGTTGGTGTGTTGGTTACAGAGTGTGTATGATGCGTGTGTGTGGTTAATTTATTGGGAGCAACGTGTGTAACATATTTGGCGCAGTGTGTAAGATGGCTCATCAAATGTTTGATGTAGTTTATACATTGTGTGTGTAGGGGAGCTGCAATGCTGGGACTCAATATCTCTGCTGGAATCCTCTGGAGCTGGATGGGAAGCACTGGTTAGTGAATATAGCCCATTCCCCCAGTCACTGGGCAACAGACAGTTCTGGGAGTCAACTGATTTTTATTAACCCACACACGGCTTTTTATGCACAGTCCCATAGTATGAAGTCTCTAAAGCTATTTTACAGGGCTTTCCCCAAGAGTCTCTGGGACTTAGAGATAATTGAGCTGGGAATTTTGATAACTCAATTATGTCTCGGTTACAGTAAAATACATAAAATATTATACATTTTTCCAAACACTACCGTATTCCCCTGTTCGGGAACCAAACAGAACTTCTGTGGTCCCCCTCGTTATTGACTTAGAACACGAACACCCCTGGCTGTTAACCACAATTAAAGGATTAACTCAATGCTTTCCTTGGGTGGCCGCCGTTCATATAACCAAATGCACGTGGTACAGTGCATGGCCATTTTGTCTCCCGAACACAGGCAGCGGTACTTGGTCGTTGAGTGCGTGGAACTAATTTTGGCTACACGTTCTCGCGAACCCGGTCAGGATGGTCCAACTGCCTGCATACTTTCCAGACCAACTTGACGAACCCTGTTCAGGAGATAGGATCTACCGACTGGGGGGAGCATTCGCTAGCTAAGATCCAGGGGGAGCGTTCATGTGTGCTCGTGCAAGAACTCCCGAATAAAGACCGGCCGCTGCCCTGGAATCTCTGGAACTCTTTTGGGGCATCGCCACATGGCCGACTGGTCAAAACTTCTCCCGAATGGCGATCCCAATCCACCAAACCAATCTGAGCGCTTTTCGGATATGTGGTGTGCTCAGATACAGGCTATTCGGGGATATAAGAATTGTGGGGTTCCTGTAATGTTTTATTTTGTTTTTTGTGTGTTTATAATATTTTATGTATTTCCTGTAACTGAGAGATATTTGAGTTATCAAAATTCCCAGCTCAATTATCTCTCAGACCCAGAGATTCATGGGGAAAACCCCAGTAAAACAGCTTTGGGCATCTTCAGGTACTGATACCAGTTCCGCCACAGTGTGGATTGAGTGCAGCATGTGTATGGTACAAGTGTTGGGTGCTGCATGTGTATGATGCATGTGATGGGTGCAGTATGTGTGTGGTGCAGTATGTTTACCAGATTGAATATTATGTGCATGATGCATGTTATGTGTGGTGTTTGTGTGTGAGTTATATTGTAAACCAACACAAAAATATATACCCCAAAGGGATATATATAAAGGGGGTATCAAATGCACATAGAGGATGTTAAAGTAAAATACAAACTGAAAATCAGGATGGATATAAATACAATGTGGAATTTAATAATAAAGAGGCTAAATATGGTGAAATACGTTGTGTTGTCACCAGAGACTCCAAGATCATTTAATAAAATAGGTCTGTTTCCCCTCAGGGGTGTTTGAAGATGGCTGATATCTTCCAGGACTTTAACCCTCTCTGATACTGAATTTCACTTTCCTTCCTCTCCGCACTCAACAATCTTTCCGGTTCATCTATTTTGTCTTCAAATGATCTGCAATTCTATCAGAAATTCTTTATTATTAAATTCCACATTGTATTTATATCCATCCTGATTTTCAGTTTGTATTTTACTTTAACATCCTTTATTCTTTGGGGTATATATTTTTGTGTTGGTTTACTTTTGGAGTTTTTGTGAGGTACACTTTTCAAGAATGGTTTGCACTAACTCCATGTGTGCTATATAGTAACTATATTTTCTATATAGTTATATTGTATGCAGGGTGTAGTGTGTGTGTGAGGTATATTGTATGCAGGGCGTAGTGTGTGTGAGGTATATTGCATGCAGGGTGTAGTGTGTGTGAGGTATATTGCATGCAGGGTGTAGTGTGTTTTATATAGTAACTATATTTTCTATATAGCTATATTGTATGTAAGGCGTAGTGTGTGTAAGGTATATTGTATGCAGGGTGTAGTGCGTGAGGTAAAGTGTATGCAGGGCGTAGTGTGTGTAAGGTATATTGTATGCAGGGCGTAGTGTGTGTAAGGTATATTTTATGCAGGGCGTAGTGTGTGTGAGGTATATTGTATGCAGGGTGTAGTGTGTGTGAGGTATATTGTATGCAGGGTGTAGTGTGTGTGAGGTATATTGTATGCAGGGTGTAGTGTGTGAGGTATATTGTATGCAGGGTGTAGTGTATGAGGTATATTGTATGCAGGGTGTAGTGTATGTGAGGTATATTGTATGCAGGGTGTAGTGTATGTGTGAGTTAGGTATATTGTATGCAGAGTGTGGTGTATGTGTGAGTGAGGTATAGTGTATGCAGGGTACACAGACCCACTTATACCATTACAGTAACACAGACACACTAATAGCATCACAGTAACACACGCACACCCACTCATAGCATCACAGTAGCACAGACACACTCATACCATTACAGTAACACAGACACACTCCTAGCATTACAGTAACACACACAGATCCACTCATAGCATTACAGTTATTGTATGCAGGGTGTAGTGTGTGAGGTATATTGTATGCAGGGTGTAGTGTATGTGTGAGTGAGGTATAGTGTATGCAGGGCGTGGTGTGTGTGAGGTATATTGTATGCAGGGTGTAGTGTATGTGTGAGTGAGATATAGTGTATGCAGGGTGTAGTGTATGATTGAGGGGCATTATATGCAGGATACATTGTATACAATGGGTGGAAGAATTTATTTTATTTCCCATAGACCCCGCCGTGCTGATCATGCGCTGCTGGCCTCAGCTTCTGCTTCCTGCCTTGTGTTGGATCCTGTTCATTTGTCAGACGTCTGCACAAGGTAAGCTCACACTTATTATGACAGCTTAGTTATCTTATGTCAAGTTACGCTAAGTTGCCTCAAGATCATTAACAAGGGACAATACTCAGTTACTAGATTATTGCTGATTAGTGAAGGGAAATCACTCCAAGGCTGGACTTCACATTCCAGGACAAGTTAACAAAATATATCAGGAAAGGAAATTTAAAACCTGAAGCAACAATAAAGTCAACGACTGCAGGAACAAATTCTAGAATTCTGAAACGGTTAGGCCAAGATGACACACTCGACCATTAGACACACAGTTCCTAAATAAAGACCCATTACACACACTGGACCACCATAAATCGGACTCACACGGGACTGCCATAAAGACCCATTACACACACACACACACACAATTCGTCCATATGGGCAGGAGCCTAAAGTAAATTCATAGTTACATAGCTGAAAAGAGACTTGCGTCCATCAAGTTCAGCCTTGCTCACATATGTTTTTGCTGTTGTTTCAAAAGAAGGCAAAAAACCCAGTCTGAAGCGCTTCCAATTTTGCAACAAACTAGGAAAAAAATCCTCCTTGGATCAAGCAGCTATTACCCCCCTAATTAGAAATTATATCCCTGTATGTTATGTTTTTGCAAGTATTTATCTAATTGCAGTTTAAATATCTGTATGAACTCTGATAAAACCACCTCTTCAGGCAAAGAATTCCATATCCTTATTGTTCTTACTGTAAAAATCCCTTTTCTTTGCCTTAGATGAAATCTCCTTTCTTCCAGCCTAAATGTGTGACCTTGTGTCCTATGTATAGCCCTGTTTATGAATAGATTTAGAATAAAATGGTTTGTATTGGCCCCGAATATATTTGTATAATTTTATCATATCCCCTGTGAGGCGCCATTTTTCCAAACAAAAGAGATTTACAACCTTTTTTTCCATTAATAAAATGCTCCATTCCTTTTTGTCTCTGCACTATTTCTTTTGCCATAATATCCTTCTTAAAACAGGTGCCCAAAATTACACAGCATATTCAAGGTGTGATTTAGATTTATAAAGAGGCCAAATTATATTTTCATCGTGAGAATTTATGCCCCTATTTATACATGACAAAACCTTACTGGCCTTAGACACTGCAGATTGACATTGCATATTGCTGCCTAATTTGCTGTCTATAACAATTCCCAAATCCTTCTCTTGTGTGGTTATCCCTAATTCACTACCATTTACGGTGTAAGTTGCTTGTGCATTCTTAACCCCGAAGTGCATAACTTTGCATTTCGCTACGTTAAATTTAATCTGCCATTTTAGTGCCCAGTCCCCCAATCTATCCAAATCCCTCTGCAGGAAAGCAATATCCTGCTCACATTTTATTACTTTACAAATTTTTGTGTCATGTGCATACACTAAAACATGGCTTTCAATGCCTATTTCAAGATCATTTATAAATATGTTAAATAGAAGCGGTCCCAGAACAGAACCCGGAGGGACACAACTTACCACTTTTGTCCAGCCTGAAAATTTACCATTAATGACAACTCGTTGTACTCTACTCTAAGCCAATGTTCTACCCAAGAACAGGAACATTCATCTAGACCAATTTCTTTTAGTTTGAAGACTAACCTATTGTGTGGAACTGTATCAAATGCCTTAGCAAAATCCAAGTAGATCACTTTCACTGCAACACCCTGATCTATACTTCTACTTACTTCTTTGTAGAATGTAATTAGGTCAGTTTGACATGACCTGTGCCTCATAAAACCATTCAGGGCTGTCCTTTTGATTATGGGAGAACTGGAAGGATATAATGCAATGGGAGTGCTTGGTGAGTCTCATATATAGTCAGTATGTGAGGCTGAACTTTCTCAATCAGACATGTCCTTCAGGAGCCAAGAGTGTTCTTCAGATACAGTCATGTCCAGCAGAATGTATCTTTCAGGGTTATCTCTGCCTTTGAGTCAAGCATGTCCCCCAGAAAATGCCCTTCGTAGCAGATTCTATTGTATTGAGGGTTTTTTGTTGTGGATTCATACCAACTGTTTTATCTCCCAGCTATAATAATTAAACATAGACTACTAAATGTTCTCTTTTTAGAAATACAGTACAAGTTTCTTATCTTTAAGAAGATGAATTATTGAATGTTTGGAAAGGCTGACATTGAAACACAAACTCTTAAATGGATATTTATCTGATTAAAATTTCATTTAATTAATATGTATTTTTCCTCAGCTGACGAGTGCAGTGAGCACTGCGATATTTATCACGGACATTGCGACGAGGAAGGAGTTTGCAGGTAAGTGTGAGTTGACATGGGGTGCAGAGAAAGAGTCTTCCATTGTTGTTGGTGGTGAGGTTTTTCTAGAATTTAAAACATGAATAAATCTGCAATATAAAACGAATTTCTAAATCTGTGAGATAGCCTTCCAATAAAACACACAGACACACTCCTAGCATTACAGTAACACACACAGACCCACTCAAACCATCACAGTAACACAGACACACTCCTTCCATTACAGTAACACAGACTCACTCCTACCATCACAGTAACACACACAGACCCACTCAAACCATCACAGTAACACAGACACACTCCTACCATCACAGTAACACAGACACACTCCTAGCATTACAGTAACACACACACTCATAGCATTACAGTAACACACACAGACCCACTCATATGGTAACACAGACACACTCCTAGCATTACAGTAACAGACACAGACCCACTCAAACCATCACAGTAACACAGACACACTCCTTCCATTACAGTAACACAGACACACTCCTAGCATTACAGTAACACACACAGACCCACTCAAACCATCACAGACACACTCCTAGCATTACAGTAACAGACACAGACCCACTCATAGCATTACAGTAACACACACAGACCCACTCCTACCATCACAGTAACACAGACACACTCATAGCATTACAGTAACAGACACACACCCACTCATACCATCACAGTAACACAGACACACTCTTTCCATTACAGTAACACACACAGACACACTCATACCATCACAGTAACACACACACACTCATAGCATTACAGTAACACACACAGACCCACTCATATGGTAACACAGACACACTCCTAGCATTACAGTAACACACACACAGACACACTCCTAGCATTACAGTAACACAGACACACTCCTTCCATTACAGTAACACACACAGACCCACTCATACCATCACAGTAACACAGACACACTCCTAGCATTACAGTAACACACACACTCATAGCATTACAGTAACACACACAGACCCACACATATGGTAACAGACACACTCCTAGCATTACAGTAACAGACACAGACCCACTCAAACCATCACAGTAACACAGACACACTCCTTCCATTACAGTAACACAGACACACTCCTAGCATTACAGTAACAGACACAGACCCACTCATACCATCACAGTAACACAGACACACTCATACCATCACAGTAACACAGACACACTCATAGCATCACAGTAACACAGACACCCACCCACTCATAGCATTACAGTAACACACACACACACACCCACTCATAGCATCACAGTAACACAGACACCCACCCACTCATAGCATCACAGTAACACAGACACCCACCCACTCATAGCATTACAGTAACACACACACACACACACCCACTCATAGCATCACAGTAACACAGACACCCACCCACTCATAGCATTACAGTAACACACACACACACACACCCCCACTCATAGCATCACAGTAACACAGACACCCACCCACAGCATTACAGTAACACACACACTCATAGCATCACAGTAACACAGACACCCACCCACTCATAGCATTACAGTAACACACACACACACACACCCACTCATAGCATCACAGTAACACAGACACCCACCCACTCATAGCATCACAGTAACACAGACACCCACCCACTCATAGCATTACAGTAACACACACACACACCCACCCACTCATAGCATTACAGTAACACAGGGCTTGACAAATTTGCTTGGGATCAACAACGAAAATAACAATTCCTAAAGGAACACTATAGTCACTAGAACCACTACAGGCTAATGTAGTGGCTCTGGTGTCTATAGCCTGTCCCTGCAGGCTTTTCCACGTAAACACTACCTTTCCAGAGAAAAGGCAGCGTTTACATTGCTGCCTAGTAACATCTCTAGTGGCAGTCACTCAAACGGCCACTAAAGTGTCTCCTATCTGCATGGAGGCGCAGAATGCTCCCCAAAGAGATGCATTGATTTAATCTCTATGAGGAGATGCTGATTGGTGCAGCATTTTACTGTGCATGCTCAATAGCTCCCAATGCTTTCCATCTCTGACCCCTCCATTATCACTCTGGTATTTGTGTTACTTATAATATTTTTATTATAAATTTTATCCACTTGTCATATTACAACTTTGGAATAGTGTATGGGTTTTTATCCTTTTACCATATGTATAGTAGTGCTTTGATATATATCATGAACATGTATCCATGATTTTGAGTATTTTATTTTAATTATTAGTATTTTTTTTATGTACTTTAATATATGGCTTTCATGTCTGTGTCATTTTTTTATATTTATCCCTTTAAGTACCTCTTTTGTAACATTTTAGTTATTGGAATGATATGTGTGGATACGAATAGATAAACATGTAATGACTAGCACTGATTGAGTTTTCTATGTATTTCCAACTTTTTGCCCTTCTCAAATATGGCTGAGATAACTGCCGCTTTATTTACAAGCATATCCACGAAGACCCCGTGACATCATCTCATATGGACGCCGGAACATGCGTCCATCTACAACACAAAACAGAAGATTATGTTGATATGTATACACAACAGACTTGACATTGCCGGTATTCAAAGAATTATCTTTGCAATTACATCTCAAGCGCGGCATTTGCCGAATTGGAATGCATGCGGTTCCAAAATGGCGCTGATGCGTTCCAAGCTGAACCACATAACATCACCACATGTAGTTACGCCGCGTCACTTCCGGTGCGACGCGTGCGTTCCACGAGTGGAAACCGGATATTGGACACACCAGGAAGTAACTCTTCATAATTGTATCACCTATAATAAAGGACACATTTAAGGACTTTCCCACACTTCTGAAGAAGCCTGTGATAGACAAAACGCGTTAAGTGGGACTTTTTTTTATAGCCACCTTGTTCTTTGTTTTATTATATTGCCATTAAATAGTGTATTTTAAAGATATATACACATCTATTTATTTTGGATTCATCTTTTACTTCCTGGTCATCATATCCTCTGGTGGGGATTATACCACCTAAGCTGAGTATACTAGTATTCTGCTCTAGTAAATGTGAGTACCACATTTTTTATTTTATTTTCTCTTATTCTTATCAGAATATATTGAACTATTGGAGTTTTCTTTAGTTTTTTTATACTGCTACTCATCTGAAATATTGGAGACACTTGCTTCCACATAGATCCTTAGACGGGGATTGTCCCGTCCATGCGAATTACGGTAGAGCTCATAGTCAGCTCTATCAAATGTGAGTGTATATTGCTTTAATCCACTCCAAAATTTCATCTATTTATCAAATCATATTGCACTATTGGGTTTCCTCTGTTTTTATCTTTGAGGCTGTATGCAAATTATTTGGAAAAAACTTTGTGTATGTATATTATTTCATTATTACTATCTGGGGCGCGGTTTCTCTTTTTCTTTTGTTTGACTCTTTTTTTCACAAGGCTGGAAATCCTTGTACTAGTTACCGCTGCCTATAAATACTTTATACTTAATATTGGAGTGAGCACCTATTACATACTTTTCTATATCTAACAAAGGATCCAAGATGGCCGACCGCCACGTGGCCGGTAGCCGAACGGCGGCCACCTTGAACATTAGCTACCGAAAGATACAATGTTGCGATATTTAATGGGAGCCACACGACCTCCTGTGTGTGGTCTCCCATTCGGTAATTTGTTCGTTTCACGAACCGTGTTGAAATTCACGGTTTGTGAAACTACTGTATGAATGCTTTCATGTCACCAGAATATGAATGCTCTCGTTCGCATCAAATACAGACAGGGAATACACTCAGCTCAGATAGCCTTAAAGCCACAACATCACATTAATGAACATACAGTCTTAAGTGGCTAGTTTTGCCATATATAATATATGTCATACTGTCAGGATCACAAGTTGATCCAGCACACAGAACTGTGTCACACGTAGGACTAAGGATAATGTATAACCGGACCTTAGAATGGCCGGACTTAACATATCCAAGAATAGTCAAAATACTTGCCGAGGTCAGGGACACAGAATCCGACACAACGATGAGGGAAAGCCAAAAGTCAAGGATACCAGAATTCAGGGAAGTCAAAACGAAGCCAAAGTCAAATACCAGAAAATCAAGATCAGGAACGCACTCTCGGATAACCATCAGGATGAAACCATGACAAAGCTACGAGCAAAAGGAAGATTGGGTTTAAATACCCTTCCTGTGGATCAGATTCGCCGTAACCAACCTTTGACCCCAAAAGCAATTACCAAGTTTTCATGTGCATGATTGCTGCTCGGCACAACTTTTCCTGTCAGGACGTTAATGCTGCTCAGCACAACTTTTCCTGTCAGGACAGTAAATGCCATTAACCACATCTTTATGTGCGGATGAATACATGACATTACCCCCACCTGAAGACTGCCCACCGGGCGGGCAGGGCCAGGTTTGAGAGGAAACTTGGTGTGAAAAGAACAAATTTTACGGCCAGTATGGATATCAGAAGCCGAAACCCAAGAACGGTCAGCATGCCCATACTCCCTCCAATCAACCAAATACTTTAAGGAACCACAAGAAAACCTGGAATCAATGATGGAGGAGACTTCACACTCCTCCTGTCCAGAAACAACCAAAGGAGGAGGGGGAACAACCGGACTTGTGTACCGATTGCAAACAAGCGGTTTTCATCAAGGACACATGAAAAGTATTAGGTATACGTAAGGACGCTGGAAGGGCCAGAGAATAAGAAACAGGGTTGATTCTCCTAACCACACGAAAAGGACCAAGGAACCTTGGAGCAAACTTCATGCTGGGAACCTTCAACCTGATGTTGCGTGAGGATAACCAAACCCGATCACCAACCTGGTAAACTGGATTGGCCCTCTGCCGTTTATCCGCATGAAACTTAAAGCGAGCAGAGTGAACCTTAGTCCAGGTATCACGAATAGAGGTAAGGTGATCATCCAGAGTAGGGATAGCCGTATCAGAAAACACAGCAGGGAGAACAGCAGGATGACGACCCGTATTGACAAAAAAACTGACTATGCCTAAATGAGTCATGGGTAGCGTTAATCCTTGCAAATTCAGCACAGGGCAATAATTCAGCCCAGTTAGACTGTGTACTATTCACAAAGCAACGTAAATACAACTCAAGTCATTGGTTAGCTTTTTCAGTCGTACCATTAGTTTGGGGATGTAAGCAGAGCAAAATGAAAATTCAATGCCCAACTGTTTATTGAATGCCCTCCAGAACTGTGACACAAATTGGGAACCCCTGTCAGACAATATTTTGAGGAATACCATGTAGCCTGACAATATCGCGTATAAATATGTGCACTAGGTCCTGAGACTATGGCAATTTTTTAAGTGGAGTAAAGTGTGCCTTTTTGGAAAACCAGTCAACTACGAAGAGGATGGTTGTATACCCATTGGAACTAGGCAGTTCAACAATGAAATCCATCGATAAATGAGACCATGGGATACTGGGTATAGGAAGTGGCTGTAACAATCCACACAGAAGTTTATGAAGAAGTTCAAAACTGCACAGACAGAGGAGGCTTCTACATAATCATATCCCTCCTGAGTGACTCCCACCAAAATGACCTGGAAATGGCGGGTACAGTTTTATTAATACCCAGATGGATGCCCAGCAGTCACATTGTCACACCTTCAGCATCTCTTGCCTGTCAGGCAATGGAATAAACAATTTATCTTGAGGTTTGTTGCAAGGTGCCTGGGGCTGAGCCGCGATGATAGCTCAGAGCAAAGGGGACGTCAGCTTTAACATTCTTAGAACCGGGTCTGTAGGTGATAATGAATTTAAAGCGAGACAATTGTCATCCCCAATATTTACGCCAGGTTCTTGTGATCAGTAATAAATCAGAATGGGATCCTTGGAACCCTCCAAAAGATGTCGCCATTCCTTAAGCGCTAGTATGATGGCTAACAGTTCTCTATTACCAATGTGACAGTTACGCTCGGCAGGAGACAACATTCTGGAAAAGTAACCACAAGGATGCAAAGCGGCATCCTGACTCTCTCTCTGAGAAAGAACAGCCCAGACCCCTGTCTCAGAGGCATCAGCCTCAAGTAGGAAAGATTTACTAGTGTCATTATGTCTTAATATATGTCAGCAGATACGAACATTTGTTTAAGAAGCTCAAAAGTCTCTTTAGCCCCCTTGCGTGTCATATTGGTGATGGGGGCTATTACCGAAGAGAAACCTTTAATGAATCTCCTATAATAGTTAGAGAAACCAATAAACCTCTCTATGGCTTTTAACCCATTGGGTAACGGCCAGTGTAGAACGGCCTCTAGTTTGCGAAGATCCATTTGGAAACCAGAGGCAGAAATATTATACCCCAAAAACTGAACCTTATGCTGATCAAATATGTATTTCTCAAGTTTACAATAAAGTCCATTATCAAGGAATGTTTGTAATACTTGTTTAACATGTTCATGATGAGTCTGGAGGTCTGGGGAATAAATAAGGATATCATCCAGGTAAACTAGAACAAATGAATAGATATAGTTCCTGAGTAAATCGTTAATAAGATCCTGAAACACAGCCAGAGCATTGCATAATCCGAAGGGCATGAAAAGGGACTCATAGTGCCCAATCCTAGTATTAAATGCCGTCTTCCATTCGTGATCCTGGCTAATACTCACCAAATTGTATGCACTCCTAAGGTCAAGTTTGGTAAAGATCTTAGCACCCTGGAATCTATCGAACAAGTCTGATATAAGGAGAATGGGATAGGCATTTCTGATAGTAATCTTGTTTAATGCCCTGTAGTCAATGCAAGGATGTAACTCTCCCTCTTTTTTAGCTACAAAAAAGAACCCTGCTCCAGCAGGCGAGGATAATTTACATATATGGCCTTTTCTTAACGATTCTTTGATGTACTCATCCATGATCTTACCTTCTTGTGGGGATAGGGCATATACTGCTCCTTTAGGAGGCATAGCCCCGGGCAACAGATCAATGGAGCAATCGTATGACCTGTGTAGAGGAAGAACATCAGTCTGGCTTTTATTAAATGCCTCCCTAACCTCCCAATACTGTACGGGAATTTCGGGGGTCAGAGACATAGCAGCGGATAAAGCAACAATGCCCACTTTGGTAATGTGAAACATGCAGTTTTTCCTGACTTATCTTTACCCCATTCCAGTATTTCCCCTTTAGTCTAGTCAATATGAGTGTTATGCTTGATGAGCCAAGGGAACCCTAATACGATGGGACAAGAAGGAAAAGCGATCAGGAAAGGAACGTCTTCCTTATGCAAAGCTCCTATCGTAATGCAAATAGGCAAGGTCTCATGGGTAGTCAATGGTTGAGATAGGGGCCTCCCATCCATAGCCTCAACGGCTACAGGTAAAGATCTCTCCTGGACTGGTATAGTGTGTTTCTTAACAAAATATAAATCAAGTTACCAGCTGTCCTTTTTTGCCACAATATAAGCAAAGACCCTCTTTTCTCCCATACTGTTTCTCTGCCTCAGACAGTCCAGTAACCCCTAACTGCATAGGTTCGGGTTCAGACACCGTCGGAAGGCCATAGACAACAGGTTTGGAGAATCGAGGTGCTAGTGACATCGTCAAACGTCTAGTTCTGTTTCTAGCAATTTCCCTGGTCCTGAGTCTATTATCGATCTGCATCACATAAGTAAAAAAGTCATTTAACCCCTTAGGTAGGTGTTTGGCAGCAATTTCGTCAAGAATATTCTCGGATAATCCTTATTTAAAAGCAGCGATTAATCCGTTGTTAGTCCAGTCTACCTGTGATGCCAAAGTAAGAAATTCTATGGCATTATCGGAGATAGACAGGTTCCCTTGATATGCAGTAAGGCAGGGGAGGCGTCTTCCTCCCTGCCTAATGGTTCAAACGTCAGTCTGAATTCCGCCAGGAATTCCTGGTAACAATGAGCGATACTCCTATTACTTTCCCACAATGGATTAGCCCAAGTTATGGCCTTACCTTTAAGTTAGTTCATCAGATACCCAATCTTAGATCTATCTGAAGGAAATGAACCAGGTGAGGCCTCAAAGTGCTACTCAATCTGACTGAGAAATCCCCTACATTACCAGAAAAATGCGGGGGAGGAGATAAGGTGGAGGTACATTAGGCAGCGGTGACATAATTGGAGAAGCCTCAGGTTGTAAATGAGCCGTCCTAGTAAGGAGCATGCTAAAAAAATCCATACGGTGATCATTCTCCTCTAGTTTTCTCTCACAAGCTGCTATGTGCTGACACAATTCTGCAGGATCTATGGCCATGTCGTAATGTCAGGATTCCAAGTTGATCCAGCACGCAGTACTGTGTCACACCTAGGACTAAGGATAACGTATAACCAGACCTTAGAATGGCCGGACTTAACGTCTCCAAGAATAGTCAAAATACTTGCCGAGGTCAGGGACACAGAATCCGACACAACGATGAGGGAAAGCCAAACGGCAAGGATCCAGAATTCAGGGAAGTCAAAACTAAGCCAAAGTCAAATACCAGAAAATCAAGATCAGGAACGCACTCTCGGATAACCATCAGGATGAAACCACGACAGGGCAATGAGCAAAAGGAAAATTTGGTTTAGATATCCCTCCTGTGGATCTGATTGGCCATGACCGGTCTTTGACCCCAAAAGTAATTACCAGGTTTCCATGTGCACGAGTGCTGCTCGGCACAACTTTTCCTGTCAGGACGGTAAATGCCATTAACCACATTTTTATGTGCGGATGATTATGTGACACATACTAAGTGTATTTTTTTATTAATATATATATATATATATATATATATATATATATATATATATATATATATATATATATATATATATAAAATACACACGTATGTATATAATATATATGATAATCTATATAATAAAAAATAAACTAAAAATAAACTAAAAATAATTTTAAAAAATTATATAAATGTAATTTTATTCTAACTATTTTAATATTAATATAGGAAAGAAGAGGAGTGCACTCTGGAGACTGTAGTAGTAAAGTAGAAATGCTTTTATTTAGCACAAATAAACATAAACGTTTCAGTCCTTCTGGACTTTTCTCAAGACGAAAAGGAGGACTGAAACATTGTTTATTTGTGCTAAATAAAAGCATTTCTACTTTACTGCTACAGTCTCCAGAGTGCACTCCTCTTCTTTCCTATACTATGGCTGGAGTTGGCACCGGAGCATCATTAAAGACCGGAACTGGAGTGCTGGGATCGTGGAAATATATTTATATCAAAATACACTTAGAATGATATCTCTCTCTCTCTCTCTCTCTCCCCCTCTCCCCTTAACGTACCAGGTATGTCCGAAAAAAAAACAAAACACCAGTTGTTAAGGACCGCGAACGTACCTAGTACGACCATGGCAAATAGGAGCCCTGAACTTACCTGGACCGGCGATCCACGGCGATCACAGTCGGGGTGACTGCCGGAGACCCCAGCAGTCCCCCTGCAGCAGCTCCGGTCAACCGGCCCTCCAGGGCCATATGATCACATCACTGCAATAAGAGATGTCAGACAGTCCCCCAGGCTGCTAAAAAGTAAAATAAATTAAATATATTATATATGTATAATATTATAAAATAATTAAAGCTATTTATAATATATATTATACATATATAATGCATATAGTGGAAAATGTATCCATACTTACCGTAATTTTCTTTTCCTGGCTATTATTCATGGCAGCATATACACATGGGTTAGCTCCTCTCCTTACAGCCGATAGGACAGGATTTAAAACAAACCTTTAAAAGGCCTAGGTCCCTCAGTCAGTTACAAGCTCCCACAGAAGAAGCAAAACCAACACTGGGTGGGTAGTGTATGCTGCCATGAATAATAGCCAGGAAAAGAAAATTACGGTAAGTATGAATACATTTTCCACTTTTCTGGCTAATCATGGCAGCATATACACATGGGGAATACCCAAGCTTACAAAGGGAGGGACAGAAACATACATAACTGGCAATCAAATAATCAGAACAATTCAACATAGATTCTAAGATTAACTGCGTTAAGGACGTGACGTCCAAATTGTGCCTCATTGATTGCTTCATTGTCCAATATGTAATGCAGGACAAACTAGTCCAAAGAGGTCAAAATGCCAACTTTACAAAGTTTCAGCAGAGACCATTGCCATGGAAGCCCACGATGCTGCAACTGCACTAGTGGAGAGTGCCCCGAAATCCTTTGGTACAGGTAGAGAATGGCGTTGAAAAGCTCTCACTTTAGGCAGGATCTATGGTGCTAAATGCAAGACAACCATAACCTGTTTAAGTTCAGTGAATGGAGGTACACAGGATCAAGCCTGGAGTTCACACATTCACCTTGCTGAGGTACGAGCCACAAGCAACAGCACTATCTGTGCTAACATCATGGAAGCTCCTGCTAGAGGTTCGAATGATGGTTTAGTCAGAGCCTGTAAGACCAGTGGTAGATCACAAATGGAGTTCAACACCCTCAGTGAAGGCTTGCGTTTAATTACTGCTTACATGAAGCAAAGCACCAGAGGCTCCAATACTTAATGGGTATCCTGCAGTACAAGTAGAGAGTGACATTGCTAAGCATTCACTTTAGGCAGGATTCTGATGCTAAATGGAAGACAACTATATCTGGTTGAAAATTAGTGAATGGAGGTACAAAGGAGTTCACATTCACACACATTCACCTTGCCGAGGTACCAGCCACCAGCAACAGCACATTCTGTGCTGACACCATAGAAGCTCCTGCTAGAGGTTCGAATGGTGGTTTAGTCAGTGCCTGTAAGACCAGAGGTAGGTCACATATGGACTTCAACACCCTCAGTGCAGGCTTGAATTTAATTGCTTCTTCCATGATTGCTTCTTACATGAAGCAAAGCATTGGGGTTCCAATGCTTAATGGGTCCCCATGCATTTGTAAAGTGCCAATCTGTGCTCTTCTACAGTGTTATAATTCAGAACATATCAAGGTCTAGAGACACCAGCCTCAACACCAGAGCTTAAGGATCTTGGTGTGTCAAGGGACCCTGTAATAGGTCTGGACGTACTGGAATAACCCTTGGAGGTACCAGATTCTTCTTACTCATTATAGGAGTTTAGAGTCTTTGTGGCCTTCCACCGTCTCCTTTGAATTTCCTTTAGGAACATTGAAGACAGGAAATATAAAAATATGGAAAAATATGGAAATATGTACATCAGACTGAAATTACAAATTTGAGTGAGCATATCCTGACCTTGAACATTCTTGTCCTAAAAATGAAAAAATAAAAAAAATAAAAATCTTCTGGATCTGGTAGTTTCGAGAAGTGGCCATCAGATCTACATAGGGTATCAGCCAAATCCGAGCTATCCCTCTGTGCGCCTGCCTTCTGTGTGCCTGAGGCTCCCAGTAGTAGATCATCCAGATAATGGAATCAGGTGGTGTTCTGGACTCTCAATATCACTATAAGCACACCTCAGGTTCTTGAGGCTGCAGTGAGGCCAAATGGTAGGGCACAAATTGGAAGTTCTCTTCTGAGATAATGCTGAAGATCTAGGCCGACTGGAATGGTAGTAAGCATCCTTGAGATAGAGATAAGGAACTTGTCCTTCCAAATAGCTGGGGATATGGATCTGATTTACTCCATCCCGAATGCTCTGTCATTTAGCCTATTGTTGGCCCTTGTTAGGTCCAGTATAGACTTCCATGTGCCTTTACTTTTAGCATCAGAAGAGAGGCGCACATTGTCCCAGGAACCACTCTTGTTAAGGGACCTAAGAATCTTCTTGGGCCAGAAGGTTTCATACATACTCCTTTGGTGCTATACCTTTGAGTCATCTGTCTGAATTCTCTTGTTGGTATAAAGACTCCTGTGTCTGAAGAAAAAACTCCAGTCTATATCCATCTGGACTATAGATACCACCCAAGTCTCTAGAATGTGACGAGCCCAGGTATGAGGACAGACACAAGTTCATTGCTGAAGAGCAAAATGACTGCTTTATAGCTCTATTAGAACCTTGAAAGGCAGGTTACCAACTGCCACGTGTTACCCCTGGAGTCTACCCTGCAGGGTCAGTAATGTATCTCAGAAATACTGGTCACTGGAGGTTCGAATGTCTGACCCTGAGGAGCCAGATTCTTGGATCTTCAGTCCTGGGGTACAAATACCTGGCTGCCCTCAGCTGCCTTTTAATGAATTCATCAAAAGCTTTCCCAACTTCTGTAGATAAAGCCATTTGTTCTAGAGAATATCCTAGTTACATCTAAGGAAGCTTCTGTGAAGAAGTCACTAGTAACCTGAAGACTCCAGACTGCATTTTCAATCTTGGCTGTTAATAGCTCTATCCACAGTACCATTGGATCTTTAAACATTCTTTTCATGGTTCTAGAAACAGCAGTAAAAACTACAGCTGGATGACAACATGCATCTGCAGGCGTATAAATTTGGATAGGTCTGCGTCCACTTTTGATCCATAGGCTTGCGTAAAAGCCGAGTTGTCAAGCGGTAGCATCGTCCCACCTGCCATGTGGCTGCGCTGGTATAGGTGATGCTGAAGCAGCTACCTTATGGAGACAGTCAGAGCAGAACGGGTTTTCTTACACTGCTTTCGTATCGGAACCAAATCATGGTGTAGATTCAGAAAATACCGTGAAACTTTCCTTTGTAAGCTATGCCAACATGTCCTGTCAGAGCAGAACGGGTTTTCTTACACTGCTTTCGTATCGGAACCAAATCATGGTGTAGATTCAGAAAATACCGTGAAACTTTCCTTTGTAAGCTATGCCAACATGTCCTGTGGCTGCACAGCTATAGGTGAAGCTGAAGTGATTACCTTCTGAAGACAGGCAATGCACAACAGTCTTCCTACCACTAAATTCCCATGACAATCAGAACACGGTGTAGATTCTGACATAGAATGAACAAATAAAATATTACATGTGGCGAAGTATAAAAGTACAAAAAGGCACTGTCAAATTCTATAACCATAAAAACAGTCAAACAGATTAACCTGGCTGAAACAGCACTTACTCCTGTCTGAAAATACGTTCAAATACTTTCCAAATAAGTTTGGGATGTATACAGTAAATTTCCCTCCATTTTAGGTACTTACTGGCAATTGCCCTAATCCAAGATGGCTGCCACAATCTGTATTCCCATAATGCAAGTCATCGGTATTTGGCCTTTAAGGCACAAACTGCACATGCGCAGGCATTTGCTGGCTAGAGACCGGGGAGAGAGCTCGGTCTGCAGCATACATAGCCCCTGAACACCCGGGGAACCGGGAATAAATCTCCGGCACCGAGGGGAGGCATAAAGTAAAAGTGCTTGCAAGGTTATAAATAGGCAACAAGGTGCAAAAAACAACCAAAGTTAAAAGGCATCTTAGTAAAAAAAAGCATAAGGCAGTAAAGGCACAGCAGCACATTGCACCCCAGTTTAAAGACCTCGCAGCATAAGGCACAGCAGCACATTGCACCCCAGTTTAAAGACCTCGCAGCATAAGGCACAGCAGCACATTGCACCCCAGTTTAAAGACCTCGCAGCATAAGGCACAGCAGCACATTGCACCCCAGTTTAAAGACCTCGCAGCATAAGGCACAGAAACATAGAAACATAGAATGTGACGGCAGATAAGAACCATTCGACCCATCTAGTCTGCCCAATTTTCTAAATACTTTCATTAGTCCCTAGCCTTATATTATAGTTAGGATAGCCTTATGCCTATCCCACGCATGCTTAAACTCCTTTACTGTGTTAACCTCTACCACTTCAGCTGGAAGGCTATTCCATGCATCCACTACCCTCTCAGTAAAGTAATACTTCCTGATATTATTTTTAAACCTTGTCCCTCTAATTTAAGACTATGTCCTCTTGTTGTGGTAGTTTTTCTTCTTTTAAATATAGTCTCCTCCTTTACTGTGTTGATTCCCTTTTATATATTTAAATGTTTCTATCATATCCCCCCTGTCTCGTCTTTCCTCCAAGCTATACATGTTAAGATCCTTTAACCTTTCCTGGTAAGTTTTATCCCGCAATCCATGAACCAGTTTAGTAGCCCTTCTCTGAACCCTCTCTAAGGTATCACAGCAGCACATTGCACCCCAGTTTAAAGACCTCGCAGCATAAGGCACAGCAGCACATTGCACCCCAGTTTAAAAAGCTCGCAGCATACGGCACAGCAGCACATTGCACCCCAGTTTAAAAAGCTCGCAGCATAAGGCACAGCAGCACATTGCACCCCAGTTTAAAAAGCTCGCAGCATACGGCACAGCAGCACATTGCACCCCAGTTTAAAAAGCTCGCAGCATAAGGCACAGCAGCACATTGCACCCCAGTTTAAAAAGCTCGCAGCATAAGGCACAGCAGCACATTGCACCCCAGTTTAAAAAGCTCGCAGCATAAGGCACAGCAGCACATTGCACCCCAGTTTAAAAAGCTCGCAGCATAAGGCACAGCAGCACATTGCACCCCAGTTTAAAAAGCTCGCAGCATAAGGCACAGCAGCACATTGCACCCCAGTTTAAAAAGCTCGCAGCATAAGGCACAGCAGCACATTGCACCCCAGTTTAAAAAGCTCGCAGCATAAGGCACAGCAGCACATTGCACCCCAGTTTAAAGAGCTCGCAGCATAAGGCACAGCAGCACATTGCACCCCAGTTTAAAAAGCTCGCAGCATAAGGCACAGCAGCACATTGCACCCCAGTTTAAAGAGCTCGCAGCATAAGGCACAGCAGCACATTGCACCCCAGTTTAAAGAGCTCGCAGCATACGGCACAGCAGCACATTGCACCCCAGTTTAAAAAGCTCGCAGCATTAAGCACAGCAGCACATTGCACCCCAGTTTAAAGAGCTCACAGCAGCACATTTCACCCCAGTTTAAAGGAATCAGAGTGTAAAAGTACCACAGTATAAAGGCATACAGGCACCATAGCAAAAACAAATAAAGAGAAAAAAAACCTAAATGTAAGCTGACTAAAGGGAGCAAAAATGCTCACATACTAAGTGCTGTAGGACAGGAAAAAGACTGAGGGACCTAGGCAGGGATACGCCTTATAAAGCCTGTGCTACCGGCAGTAAGGGGAGGACCTAACCCATGTGTATATGCTGCCATGAATAACAGCCAGGAAATATGATTTCACTATAAGCGTACTCTGAGATATATACACACACAGTATATCAAACAATACACTTAGAATGAAATCATATATATGCATTATATATGTATGATATATTATAAAATGCTTTAATTAGAATATATTATACATATATAGGAAATACAAGTGTGTGTATATTTATATATATATGTATTGTGAGAGAAAATGTGGTCTGGCAGTTGATGGCGTATACATTAGGCCTGAGGTTTGAGAGGTAAATGTCCCTGGGAGAGATGTTGGGTTTGCAAGATGCATCACTGGTACTCTGCAAACCCCGGTAAGGGTCCCTGGGGCGGAGAACCTGGAGAGCAGGGTGGGCCAGTGCTCCAATAGCACCAGCTGCTAAGTAACAGTCGGACCAGAACTTTTATTTTACTTCATAGTTTCACTTATGTCTAATTGCACCTCACCTGTATCTGATCAAGTAGCTAGCAGGCTTTTAAAAAGAAGGGATCAGCATGCTGCAGGGTGAGGGAGAAAGAGCCAGAGGAATGGTGTGTTGCAGGTATACTTTTTGTAAATTGGCAAGTGGGAAAGCCACCCAATTCCAGATAGGGATTTGCTGTGTATAGTAAGTGCTCAACAGGAGCAAGGAATTTTGTTTTGTTTATTTTTCATTTTTGAAACACCTGTATATATATTTCATCTAATAAATCTGAAAACTGAGCTGGACGTGTCCTGGACTTTCATTACCATAGAAGGCTGTGGGTACAAGATCTGTGACAAAATCCTACCTGGAAAAGAGGTGGTGTGTTACAATATATATACATACGTGCACACGTATTATATGTGTGTGTGCATATATTGGAAGGCTTGGGCTAAAGTTGTGGGAGGGGCTACGGGCCTTTAAAAAGGACTCCCCCTCCTCCCTCTTCCCTACATTACGTGATTGGTCCAGATGTACTGCTGTTCGTATCATCACTTCCGGGTAACCAGCGTGAGAGCAGGATCGCGGCACTGAGGTCCTCCTGATCACCTTCGGTCTAGCTCGTCCTGCCAGTACAGAACGCCTAGCTGCTCCACAAAACGTCTTTTTCCGGAGCAAAACAGTGAGTGTACACACGGGTACAGCAGTACACCGTCTGTATCAACACTAGGGAACCCACCGACTCTCCAGGATCCCCGGCACCGAGGCTAATAAGTAATCCCCACGCATACTAGAGACCCATCCACAAACTCACCAGGGGTCACGGAGGTTAGTGGGATCCCCGGTGGGAATTGCCACATACCGGCTTCGCCCAGCACCTTCCTAGTTGAATGCCGCATTCGGCACGTTTTAATAATGAGAGGTACAGGATTTGGTTTCTGGCTGTCGGCCACTTGGAAACTGTGTTAGGCTCCCTCCACAAACACCTGCGGTCTATCTCAGTCTGTTAAGAGCTATCTCATACACAATCTGCCTGCCTCTTTCCGCCAGGCTGGCAGAGGGTCAAGAATGCTCACTCTCATAACTCTTAGCCACCACAAGACCACATAGAGTGATGCATACTAAATCCTGAGACAGGGAGAGGCACAACGGTCCAAACATATGGATATATACAGATATGTGATATATATATATATATATATATATATGTGTTATGAATTACTGAATATTTATTAGTGAATACATTATAAAGCAAGCTAAGACATTGCTATTGATAATTCCTAGATTTTACTATTTACATGATGTAAAGTCATGATTTTATTAAAGACACGGAGGTGAGTATTATGCATATCTCTTTCTTTATTACTCTCAGCAGCAAAGATAGAGATGAATAAATAACTGAAATTGAACAAAAAACTGTATAGTACACAAGCAACCAATCACCTAACACAGGAAGTGACCATAAAAGGTTTGTGACTCCCAAGATCCCCCTCTTTCTTGCGGAGAATGAAGACCATTAGATAGGAACTAAATTCAGCTAACGTAGCCAACAGCAAAACCAACACGGAAACACGTAATTTCAAGCTATAAAGGGGACAGAGAAAAAATCTGGTAATTTCTGAACTCCAACCGTAATGTGCATAATAACATATTGGCAACATCAATGCACGTAATCCATACTAACATCACTGAATAAACATATCAGACATTAATGATAACCTGTGATTTACCAAAATACACCTGTCAGACATATAATTATTATTATGATATTTCTAGAGCGCCGTCAAATTCCGCAGCGCTTTACAATGGGTGGACGAACAGACATGTAGTTGTAACCAGACAAGTTGGACACACAGTAACAGAGGGATTGAGGGTCCTGCTCAATGAGCTTACATGTTAGAGGGAGTGGGGTAAAATGACACAAAAAGGTAAGGATAGTATTAGACTAGTGACAGTTGCAGAAGAGGAATCAGTCAGGAGCTATTAACAGTTTAATGATACGCTTTTATTAAGAAGTGGGTTTTTAAAGATTTTTTGAAGGAGTGGAGACTGGGTGAGCATCTAACGGAGGAGGGAAGCGAGTTCCACAGGAACGGTACAGCCCTTGAGAAATCTTGAAGGCGAGTACGGACAGAAGATAGACATACGTCTTCAGCAGATCGTAAGGGCCTAGACGGGACATACTTGTGTATAAGGGAGGATAGATAGGTGGGAGCAGCATTATGTAGAGATTTGAAAGCAAGAACCAGAATTTTAAATTGAGCTCTATATTTTATAGGAAGCCAATGTAGGGATTGACAGAAGGGTGAGGCATGGGAGGTGCGTGCGGACAGGAAGATGAGCCTCGCCGCCGCATTCATTATGGACTGTAATGGCGCTAGCTGGGAGCACGTAAGACCACTGAGAAGCGGATTACAGTAGTCAAGGCGAGAAAGGACAGTGGAATGGACCAACACCTTAGTCGCATCTGGCGTTAAGTAGGGGCGGATGCGCGCAATGTTTTTTAGATGGAAATGACAGGATTTGGCAATAGATTGAACATGAGGCTTGAAGGAGAGGTCGGAGTCAAAGAGAACACCTAGGCAGCGAGCCTGCGTAGTGGAGCTGATGGTAGCACCGTTGACTTGGAGGGAGACAGACACAGGAGTAACAACACTTAAGGGAGACCAGAATTTCAGTTTTGGTCAAGTTTAATTTAAGGAAGTGGGCAGCCATCCAGTTAGAAACAGCAGAGAGGCAGTCAGAGACACTAGTCAAGAGGGACGGGGAGAGATCAGAAGAGGACAGGTAGATTTGCATGTCATCTGCATAGAAATGATATTGGAAACTAAAGGAGCTAATGAGTTTACCAAGGGAGGCAGTATAGATGGAGAACAGTAGGGGACCAAGGACTGAACCGTAGGGGACACCAACAGAGAGGAGTTGGGGAGAAGAAGCAGAGCCAGAGAAAGAAAGACTGAAAGAGCGCTGGGAGAGGTAGGAGGAGCACCAGGAGGAGTAGACCGATATTGCGGAGGATGAGAAGAAGCTGTTGATGATCAACAGTGTCAAAAGCCGCAGACAGGTCAAGGAGAATTAGGATAGAGTAGTGACCACGAGATTTTGCAGCGAGTAATAATAAAACATATGAAATCTCCAAGGAGAATACTTACCGACCTTCAGGGCCGGACTGGCCCACCGGGATACCGGGTATTTTCCTGGGGCCAGACAGACAGCTGGCTGACCTGCGGGCCATCGGGGAGCTGGCTGTTCCGGCGGCCGCAGAGAGTAACTGGCTGTTCCGGCAGCCGCAGGGGGGAGCTGTCTGTGCTGGCTCTGCCTCCCTGCCCTTGCGCGCTACATAATGAGACCGGGGCCGGAATATCCGGTCTCATTAAGCAGCACACTGGGGAGCAGAGCCAGCACAGCCAGCTCCCCCGTGTAGCCGCCGGAACAGCCAGGAGCCAGCTCCCCCGTGTAGCCGCCGGAACAGCCAGGAGCCAGCTCCCCCATGCGGCCGCCAGCACAACTGACCCAGCTGTCTGCCCTGCATGCCGGTTGCCCACAGGTAGCTATGGTGTGTGTCTGTCATGGTGTGTGTATGTCTGTCGGTCATGGTGTGTGTGTCTGTCTGTCATGGTGTATGTCTGTCTGTCATGGTGTGTGTCTGTCTGTCAAGGTGTGTGTGTCTCTCATGCTGTGTGTGTGTGTGTCTATCAAGACGTGTGTGTCTGTCATGGTATGTGTGTGTCTTCAAGGTGTGTGTGTGTGTGTGTGTCTGTCATGGTGTGTTTGTGTCTGTCATGGTGTGTGTGTGTCTGTCATCTGTCATGGTATATGTGTGTGTCTGTGTGTGTTTACTCACCTTTTTTTTTCCCCACGCCGTGCTGCAGGGCTGGCATAGATCTTTTCCAGGACTGCTTTGTATCCCCAGTCCGGCCCTACCGACCTTCTACATATCCTACACATGCAACCATACCCACAACCGGGAGGGTGGGCGGGAATAATACTCGCCTCCGTGTCTTTAATAAAATCATGACTTTATGTCATGACTTTACATCATGTAAATAGTAAAATCTGGGAATTTTATTAAAGACACGGAGGCTCCTATTATGCAAGTTCAAAGCTGAGCCACTATTTGAGATGCAATGTGATCAATCGACCTGAAATAGAAATCACGGAAGGTCGATTCCTGTGACCAGTCAGCAGCCTGCAGGATATCCTCCAAACGACAACAAACCACTGAGGCATTAGATGCCATGGCCCCATGGACCGAGTGGGGCGTAAAGATTGATGTGTCAATCCCAGCCGACGTCAGTAGTTCTCGCACCCAACGTGCCAACGTAGGATTTGATACCGGCAGGTGGGGAGCGCAAAAGGAAATGAACAGAAGATACAAGTCCGGAGAACGTAACGGCCGAGTAACTTCCAGATACGTCTTGAGACACTCCACCCAGGGCCGGATTAAGAGCACAGTGGGCCTGGTGCTGACAATTATGATGGGCCTAATTACAAAATCTTATCGACCAAAAACACTAAGACAATCATACCTCCCAAGCGTCATGTATCTGATGGAGATGGTGCTGGAGGGAAACTCATAGGATGCAGCTATAAGAAAACACATACTCTATGCTAATTTCTCTCTAATTTATGCTTTCATCTTTCAAGTAAATCCATAACCCCTAACAGCAGTGTCCAGTGAAGCAGGAAGTCAATGGGCGGGATAAAAGGGTGGGCCACTGGCGCGAATCACGTGACAAGACCTGCAAAAAGGGGTGAACATGCCCAAAAAGCGGGCATGTTTGTCCAAAGAATTGGAAGGTCTGCCTGCCAATCCTGCAGGCTGTCCAACTAAGGGCATACTATGCAGGCAGCACCTTGAGCTTGACATAAATGTGTCTAATGATGCGCTCACTCCATTCTTTCTAAGGACTGTCCCCTAGCACTCGCTGGTCCAATTGTCTCCTTACCTTCTTACTAGCAGGCAGAAGTTCCTGGTATATAGTCTGGGACAGAGAAAAGGTGTCTGTAGTGAGTGTAGAAGAATGGGGACATGCCACAGTGTTAGAGAGACCAACGTCTGCATTACCTAAACTAGCCAGTGCACACAAGTTTTGTTCCCATACATCCCTCTTAAGCTTCCAAACTTAAAGGGACACTATAGTCACCAGAACAACTACAGCTTATTGTATTTGTTCTGGTAAGTAGAATCATTCCATTCAGGCTTTTTGCAGTAAACACTGTCTTTTCAGAGAAAATAACTCCACTGGCCGCTCCTTAGATGGCTGCTAGAGGTGCTTCCTGGGGCAGTACTGCCTAGTGTGCAGCACTGCCATTCAGTGTCTCCACCCTCTGCATGCAGACACTGAACTTTCCTCATAGAGATGCATTGATTCAATTTATCTTTATGAGGAGATGCTGATTGGCCAGGGCTATGTTGGACTTGTGCTGGCTCTGCCCCTGATCTGCCTAGTTGACAGTCTCAGCCAATCCTATGGGGAAGTATTGTAATTTGCTCAGCCACCACTTCTGAGCCAGCAGCTGCATAATTGAATACAAGTAATATTTTACTATATTTAGGGAGGGAAGAAGGGGCCAGGGTGGTGGTTTAAACATAATAGGGTCAGAAATACATGATTGTGTTCCTGACCCTATAGTGCTCCTTTAAGCAAGAGTATGTGAAGAGTAGTTAGGGTTGCCACCTTTCTTGGAAAAAAAATACCAGCCTTAATCATTTGTATAATTAATTAGTTATGCGTGACATCACATGATGTAAATCACAAGGAGTGACATCAGAGAATATTCTGTAAAATCACCAACAAACTACTCACTGTTTGATTCTGCCGTATAGATGGATTGCTCCCAGTATCTCCCTGTCTCCCAGTGTCTGTCTCTCAAGTCACCCAGTCTCTCAGTGTCCCTATGTATCACAGTGTCAGTGTCCCCATGTCGCCCAGTCCCCTAGTCTCCCAGTGTCCCAATGTCTCAGTGTGTCCCCATGTCACTAGGATACTGGGGACACTGAGAGACCCGGGGACACTGAGAGAAATGGGGACACTGAGACACTAGGGACACAGACACTGGGAAACTAGGGGACACTGGGAGACTAGGGGATACTGGGAGACTAGGGGACACTGGCTTGGAGACAGACACTTGGGGAGACATGGGGACAGTTGTGGACATAGACATGGGGACACTGGGACACATGGGGATACTAGGTACACTGAGAGACATGGGACACAGACACTGGGAGACTTGGGGACACTGAGACATTAGGGACACTGGCTGGGGGACATAGTGTCTCCGTGTCCAAATGTCTCCCAATGTCTCACAGCATCCCCATGTGTCCCCTAGTGTATGTGTCATCATGTGTTCCCTAGTGTCTGTGTCCCCTAGTGTCTCAGTGTCCCCATATGTCACCTAGTGTCTCAGTGTCCCCTAGTGTCTGTGTCCCCATGTGTCCCTGCTGCCTTCCCCCCTATCCCTCACTTACCTGAGCTGTAGAGCTGCTGTCTGGACTCTGTGCTGTGTAGCTGCTCCCCCACGGATCAGTGAGTAGTAGAGAGAGGCAGGGATATTCTCTAACTTCCTATCCCTGCCTCTCTCCACACACAGTGACCCCTACTGGCCGGTTCTGGTACTGCAGAGTAATTTCCAATTATTCTGAGAAAATTACCTGCATTTGTATTGCCGGTATTACTGCAATACCGGCACGGCCAGGCAGCCTCAAATACCGTCTGTGCCATTAAAATATCAGTCAGGTGGCAGCTCCATCAGCCCCTATGATAATCCGGCCCTGTCTCCACCGGACAGAGAGCTGGAACGCTCTGGAACCTAGGATAAACAAAAACTTTCGAAGCCAACTTCGTTCTTCTGGAGATGTTAAAGGAGATCCCCTCCAGGGTTAAACGTAACGGCATTCCAATCAAGCGCTCAGACATCCAACACCCGCTTACAGGAGACCAAACATAACAACCTTAGCTGACAGCTGCTTCAACGTCAAGTCTTGATTCGGATACCAAAACGACAAGAACTATAAGACTACAGTGACGTCCCAAAATGCAAAAAATCTAGCTCTAGGTGGTCTGGCGAGACGAGTCCCCTTAAGCAGATGACACACGAAAGGATGTCGACCAACAGGTGACCCGTCTAGACCATGATGTCCAGCCGAAATAGCTGAATGGCACAAATTGATGGTGCGATACGCCTTCCCGACTCAAACATACCAGTAAGAAATTCTAAAATCATATGCAGAGGGGCAGATACGGGATCCAGAGTTCGTTCCACACACCAACCAGACCACAGATCGAGTGCCTGGTGCCCATGCATTGTCGAGGAGGTTGAGAGTTGCCTGCAAAACTCCCGAGATAGTCCAATGTCCCCGGAAAGGAGCCATGCCATCAGATGAAGAAGGCCTTGATCCACTAAATCGTGGGTAGTCTATTGCCAGTTTCAGCAACCGAGGGAACCAGGGGCGCGATCGCCACAGAGGAGTAATCAACACCATCCATGGGCATCCGCAGGAATTTTTCCAGGGGGTGGGCACAGTGGTGTATCCTGGTTTTGTGCTGCCCTAGGCAGGACAAAACTCAGGCGCCCCACTCCCCCCGTGCCACCCCCACCCAACCTTTCCCCCCGCCCCACCTTCTAAATACACACACACACACAGTCAGACACAAACACACACACAGTCAGACACACACACAGACACAGACACAAACACAGTCAGAAACAAACACACACACACACACACACAGTCAGACACATACACAGACACAAACACACACACAGTCACACACACACAGACACACACACATACACAGTCAGACACACACACTCATAAACACACACACACAGACACAAACACACACACAGTCAGACACATACACAGACACAAACACACACACAGTCACACACACACACACACACAGACAGACACACACACACAGACACACAGTCAGACACATACACAGACACAAACACACACACAGTCACACACACACAGACACACACACACACACACACACATACACAAACACAGTCAGACACAAACACACACATTAACTTTTTTTTTAATTTAAATCCCCCCCCCAACCTCCTTACCTTTGGGAGTGCTGGGGGGGGGGTTCCCTCTCTTCCTGGTGGTCCGGTGGCTGCAGGTCAGGCGGGCGGCTGGCGAGGGAGCACTTCCTATGAGCTGACTGCTCAGCTCCCTCGCGTGCCGGCTGGAGAGTGAAGCTGGGAGACGGAATATGACGCCATATTCCGGCTCCCAGCCTCACTCTGCGGCGCGCGAGGGAGCTGAGCAGTCAGCTCAGAGGAAGTGCTCCCTCGCCAGCCGCACGCCTGCCAGCGCCGCCCGCCCGCCCGGGATGTCAGTTAGCCGCAAGGCTAACTAGGCATCTGCCCTGGGCATTTGGGGGGCGGCGTTTTTTGCCGCCCCCTGAAAAATGCCGCCCAAGGCAAATGCCTTGTTTGCCTCGCGGCTAATACGCCCCTGGGTGGGCATAATTGTAATGACATCCATGCTTGGTCCCTTTTTGATAGTGTCATGAAGGGGAGGAGCATAGTCATTATCACATAAAGCCAGGCTGAATAGTGTTTCCACAACTATGGTGTCAGGAATACATGTTTGTATTCCTGACACTATAGTGTTCCTTTAAGCAAATTAAAGAAACATTCTGGTCACCATAACAACTTCATCTAAATGAAAATGCTATTATGCCAGGAAGCCCTTGGGTGCTCTCTTTTCTTTTATGGGTTAAACCGCTCTCAAATAGTTTAACCCCAAAGGCTTCTTCCAGCTCCAGATTTCTAGGTCGCTCAGTGGTATTTGGCTTCTGAAATGGAGTGTCAGGAAGTGCAGATTGACGTCAGGCATGGGTGCTACAGATTGGCTGAGTGGTCAGTTGACGCTCTAAGTCAATCACTAGTTCCGGTTCATAAAAATGTTTTACTTTTTTATGAGTGGGGAGCTACTGATTGCCTTAGAGTGCCAGCTGACCGCTCTAGCCAATCAGCGGCACTCTGTGCTTCCTGACACTCAGTAAATAAAAGTGAACACATTAACACTGATATTTTTTTTTACCTGGGGATATGAGAAGGTCCATAGTTTTCCTGCCAGACCCAGGTATCAAAGCCTTATGATGTGGTGTCCAGAATAAAGTGGAGGGTTCACTTCACTTGTCCTTCCTGCTCCAATCTCCTTTTCTACTCCTTCATTTGACACAGTCTTCTTTTTCTTCTGACACTGTCTTCTCTCCTCCTTGGCTCCTTCTGCTCCTTTACCTTTCTGCTTATTGTGCTCCCCCTTCTGCTCTTTCTGATCCCTTGCAGACCCTTCCTGCTCATTTCTGTTCCTTCTCCTACTTCACCTTTGTGCTCTTTCTGTCCCTTCTTGCTCCTTGCTGCCATTTTCAGCTCCTTGCTGACCCTTTCTGCTCCTTCTACTTTACCTTTGTGCTGCTTTACCTTCCAGCTCCTTCAGACCCTTCCTGATCCTTCCTTCTCCTTTCTGCTCCTTCTCTTACTTTACCTTCCTGGTCCTTGCTGACCCTTCCTATAGGCAATCTCTGCCCCCTCCATATGCCTCACTTCCCTGATCTGTAGGCTATCTCTGCCCCCCCCCCACTTACCTGATCTGTAGGCTATCTCTCCCCCCCCACTTACCTGATCTGTAGGCTCTCTCTCCCCCCATCCCTCACTTACCTGATCTGTAGGCTGTTTCTGCTGGCTGCATGTGCTGCTCCCCTGCAGAGTCAGAGAGAAGCAGGGATAAGATGCAGCTTCCTATCACTGTCTCTCTCCATATACAGTGCTACCTACTGGCCAGCGCCAGTATTGCAGTGTATTTTCAATCTCACATGAAAATTAGCAAGCTGAAAAATCCAGGGGGGGGGGCAAGTGACCCCCTTCGCCCCCCTGTGGACGCCCATGACATCATCGTACAATCATGGCGGGTCAATTTCAAGAGTATGCGAGCTATCAAGTTGAACGGGGGAAAAGCATACATCCGAGCCTCCGGCCAATGCCAAATGAACGCGTTCGGTGCCATAGCCGCGGGATCCGGTCTCCAACTGTAGAACTTCGGCAACTGGGCGTTGAGTCAGGATGCAAACAGATCCACCTCGAGTGGGCCCCACAATCATTCCAATCCCAGGAACGCCGAAGTGTGTAAGCCCCAGTCTCCAAAGTCTCTCAAATAATGCAAGTTCCAATCAGCTGTCAAGTTGTCCAGGCCTGGAATGTGTTCTGCTGTCACTGAGACGTTGTTGTGGAGACAGAACTGCCAGAAGTCCTTTGCCATAAGTGCCAACATGCGCGACTTTGTGCCTCCTAGGTGGTTGATGTAACGCACCGCGGACACATTGTCCATCTTGAGCATCACCCAGCAGTTCGCGCGACCGGGGGTAAGGCTGCAAATCACAAAAGCCCCTGCTAACAGTTCCAGACAGTTGATGTGCAACGTCTTTTCTCAAAGTCCGACCATCTGCCTCCGGTGGAAACAACGCGCACCCCAGCCGTGTAAGCTGGCGTCCGATTCGATCACCGCGTCTGGGGTTGATCCAAAGATGGCTGTGCCATTCCAGGCTTCCATGTGAGCCAGCCAACAGATTAGTTAGACTCTGGACTCGTCGTCCAACTTCAGCTTTGCCTCGTACGAGTGACCGGAACGAAGGTAAGAAACTTTGAGCCGTTGAAGGGCCCGATAATGAAGCAGCCCTGGAAATATTGCTTGGATCGAAGCCGCGAGTAGGCCAATCACCCTCGCTAAGTGTCTGATTGACAGGTCTTCCGCTCGCACAGTCCACCTGATTTCCTTCTTGATGGCCTTCATTTTGGTTTCTGGGAGAAACAGGAACTGTCTGATAGAGTCCACTGTAAAACCCAAGAATTCCACTGATTGAGTTGGGGTCAGTTTTCCCAATTTTTTTTTCTGACTTTTCCCAATTTATCAGGAAGCACAGGTTCAGAAGCAATGTAATCGTCCAGCCGACACGCAACCGTAGTTGATCTCTTGACTGAGCCATAAGCAAGATGTCGTTTAAATATATAATCAGACAAACACCCCTGGTCTGGAAGAACAATACCACCAATGTCATGACTTTGGCAAAACACCATGGAGCCGATGTGAGAGCCCGAATGGTAGACATGTAAACCTCCACCGTTTCCCTCGCCAGGTGATTTGGAGAAAATCTCTGTGTTCCTCGGCTATAGGAACCGTGAAATAAGCGTCCTTCAAATCCAGCTTGGCCAGCTAGTCAGACATCTGGAGGAGATCCCGAAGACAATGGATACCTTCCATCTGGAAATGGGACTGAAGAAAAGCATTGAGAGATCGTAGGTTGATAATGGGGCGCACCCCGCCCCCTTTTTTTGGTACCAAGAAAAGGTTGCTCGTGAAACCCGGATAGTTGTACGGCAACTCTTGGATCGCCCCTTTGGCGAGTAGCTCCCAGATCTCCGTGGAGATCAACGATTCCTGTTCCCCTGACAGGCACAGTTCCCTGGGGACAAAATGTTGGAGAGGCATGGACAGAAACTCTAGCCGGTAACCCCGCACAGCTTGGAGAACCCAAGCGTCTGCTGTCAAGGCAGCCCATCCGTTGTAAAACTGGGCCAACCTGCCCGCCACCCACTCGTGAACATGAGGGGGAAAAAAGGGGTACTCATCATAAGGGCGTCTGCCCGACATGGCACCTCAAGGGTAGCGGGAGTTCCAAAACCTTTGGGGAAAAGACCGGCTTCATGTTTGCTTGGGCCTTATCGATCGTTGTGAATGTTTCCACATAGGACCCCAGATCCTTTAGAAAGTTGTCTCCGAACAACATCCTCCGGGTTCCGAGATGGCCATACTCGCCAACTTGGGGTAAATTTTTAAGAGAATCGCCTTCCGGCGTTCCGCCGACATGGCCATATTTGCATTGCCTAGAAGGCAGATTGCCCGTTTCACCCAGCCAATTGCCACATCCAAATCTACTTCAGATTCTCCTGCCTTAGCGGAATCCAGTACCTCATACACTTTGGACAAGGGCCCCAGAGTATCCATGATTTTATCTTGGCAACTTTTTAAGGAGAAATCCAGACCCTTTTTAGTCTTCCAGCCTGATTTATTGAGGAATTGAGCAATCTGAGGGTCTACCTCCCTGGTCTTACAGGCAGAGCCTGGCACTGAATGCCTAGGGCACTCCACCTAGAGAGGGGAGTGCGAATACAATGCGCTATGTATTGGGAAATATACCCAGGGGTTCCCACTCAGTAGTCCGGGGGTGACACAGGTCATCCGGATCGAACAGGGGGTTACCCTGAGGATCCAGAAGAGACGTATCACTACCAGCCGTCTGAGCGACAGCACCCTGAATGGGAGTAGCATCCCCAGTAAGGGTCACCACAGCAGGGGGAGCTTCCTCCTCCGAGCCAGCCTCATCATAGGAGGCTCAGAGTCCTCCTCCTCACTCTGGTCAGTGACCGATCCCTCCTCACAGGATCTAGCCCATTTCCACAATCTGGACGTTTTTGCCCGACCATGGGCTCTTTTGTGCGGTGGGAGCGCGCCATCTTTGACCGCCTCAAGTGAGTCCATCATGGCAGGCAAAACCTGCATCAAGGAGTGGGAGGTGAAGTGTTTAGCCATCGCCGTAGCCTTACGGGCCTTAGGTGTGGCTGGGGCAGAAGGGGGGCCCCATACCCAGTAGGGCAGGGGCAGCCACAGGGGGCAATAAAAGAGCCTGCGCCAGAGTTGGGAAAGCGATGATGACACCACTCCCATAGTAGAGGCAAAGGCCCTTTGGATAGAACACATCATAGTGGAGTCTAGCAAGGCTGAAAACTCATTAGAGGCCACATGTCCCTCAGATTGTCCCTGAGGGAAATCACTAAGCTGGCCCCCAGGCCCATCACCCTTAGCCTGCATGTTAAGGGCTGACAGGGAGAAACACTAAATAACTACTTCCTGCAAGAGAAGAGAGAGGGAGAGTAAAAAGCAGAAAAAAGGATAGGGTTTAATAACCCACATAGAGAGAAAAGAAGCAACAATAACTGCACATGAATAATACACAGTACCTGACAGCTGGTGTGCCCAGGGGACCCAGAGGCTGACAGGACCGAGGACCGGGTGAGTGCAGAAAGGAGCCCATTCGAAATCGCGGCAAGTAGCTGATTAAAATGGCCGCCGCACGAGGCAGAGTGTGAGCACTCCGCGGTTAGCACACAGCAGGGGGAAGGATGCGTGCACAGTACCCACGCGGTCCGCCCTGCACACACGAGGGAGCCGCCGTTGATGGCTCGCAAGCGATGGCTCGCAAGTGTGATCCCGACACCAAAGCACGGATACTATACTCACGTCCCACAGAGGGGGGGAACAGTGTGGTTGAACGGTGGGAAACCGCTTGGTCAGGAGAAGGGGGAATCCAGCAAGGACACACCACTAGGTACACAACAGTTAAGGGCACAGTTAAATAAAGCCCAAATCAAATAGTACAATAAAATAAAGCAATTAATTCAACATTAATAAGAGCTCAATAAAAGGAGTACTTAGCTGGTCTGAGAGCAGCAAAGAAAGATGGGGATCTTGGGAGTCACAAGCCTTTTATAGTCACTTCCTGTGTTAGGTGATTGGTTGCTTGTGCACTATAAAATTTTTTGTTCAATTTCAGTTATTTATATTCATCTCTATCTTTGCTGCTGAGAGTAATAAAGAAAGAGATATGCATAATAGGAGCCTCCGTGTCTTTATTAAAATTGTGGGTGTTATGTATGTGTTTCTGTTTTATAACACCTCCTTATTAGTTTTAAACTCCTAGATTAGGGATTAGGAATATCTCGGTGGTCCTGAAGGCTAGAGAACCGGGACTCAGTAAGAAACTGTCAATTCCAGAGTTTTTTCATTTCTTTTTCGATTTACAGGGATGCGTTATGTTCAGTTCACCCACATAGAAGGGAGGAGCTGGACCTCTATATGCACAAGCTGGTGGATCTTGGCAACAAATAAGGTGGTACATATTTTTATGACTACCACCGGTCATTTGCAGTGAAGGCATTGGCAGCTCTGTCCCAGTACAATGTCAAGACACAAAGTCAGTAGAGGCATTACTACAAATAGAACGGGAGCAAGGGTTTGTTTTAGGGCCATTCAAAGAGCCTCCTTTCTCTAGCTGGAGGACTAACCCTATTGGCTTGGTCACAGGGAAAAACACGACCAAGCAGAGATTGATCATAGATCTATCGGCATCACATTCCTCTGTAGTCCCTAACCTTAACTCCCTGATCCCCTCTGATGAATTCTTACTGCAATACTCTACGATGGACAATGCAGTGACAGCTATCATATCAGCTGGCATAGGGGCTTGGCTTAGCAAGACTGACATCGTAAATGCATTTAAGTTACTGCCCATTCATCCATTGTTATGGCACCTGCATTGCATTAAATGGAGGGGTCTCTACTATTTTTTTTACGAGGCTCGCATTCGGCTCAAAAAGTAGTCCAAACATTTTTGACACTTTTGCGGAAACCTTGTGTTTGCTTCTCCTGAATACAAGCCGGTGCCATAACGTTATCCATTATCTGGATGATTTTCTGTTCATTGAAAGTAATGTGCAGTCTAGACAAGGCAGTAAAGTTATTCCACTCACTAGGGGAACCAGTGTCACCTAAAAAGACTTTATAATCAATTTTCTAGGGATACAGCTTGATTCGGTGGCCATGGAAGCCAGCCTACCTCAGGGGAAAATTAACAGTATCCGATACGACACAGACTACTACATACAGACGGGCTCATGTCATAGGAAAGAACTGCAATCACTGCTTGGCTCACTAAACTTCATAAAAGTGAAATTTTTGTGTAAAAAGAAAAATGCAAAAAACAAATATGAACGCTAAATTTGGCAAGCGTTTCTAGATAAGTGGCTACTACAAAAGACTGGACATACCCCATTTTGAATAGTGTGGGTTGTCTACTTTTACAAATGGTATGCCATGATGGGTTTAATTTTCATTCCTGGGCTGCTATATGGTCTCAAAGGCAACATAGGCCCAGCAAACCAATCTGGCAAATTTCAATGTGCAAAGATGGAAAAGGGGAAAGCCCTACATTTGACCCCTGTAAGTTTGCAACACCCCATAAAACCTGTACATTGGGGGCACTGTTGTACTTGGGAGATGTTGCTGAACACATATTGGGGTGTTCTTTGTCAGCAACAGATAACAGGAACTGAGAATCCATGCCTAAAGTACAATGTGGGAGAAAAATAACACAAAAATAAAAAAGACTACCCAAAAGTTTGACAAAGACTGGTGGTAGAATTAGTGCATGGAATACCACGATTTGAAATACACTAGGGTGTCTACTTTTCAAAAATATATGGTTTGATGGGGATAAATAACATTGGCTGGCTGGTATCAACAGAAAACACTAAAACAGTCATACCTCCCAATTGTCATATATCTGATGGTGCTGGAGGTAAAAATATATACTCTGTCTTCAAGTAAATTCATACCCACTAAAAGCAGTGTCTGGTGAAGCAGGATTTCGGTGGGCAGGGTTAAAGGGTGTGCAACCGACGCGAATCACGTAACCAGAACCGCCCCCAAAAAATCTACCCGAGGAATTAGATGGTCAGTCTGGCGTGAATGCATGTCAGGCTGCCTGCCAATCATGCAGGCTGGCCAACTGAGGAAATACTATGCAGACAGCATCCTGAGCTTGGCAAAAATGCGTCCAATGATGCACTTTGTGGGGATATTTATGGGATAATAATAGTAAACAGTTGAGAATTGCCCACTAATTCAATTCTCAGATCCCAAAGAACGTTTATCGTAAGTGAAAGTATTTCATATAAATAATAGTCACATATTTTATTATAAAAATAGATTTTATTTTTAATAACAAATTAATAATAATAATATGTAACATGCGTGACAATAATCAATGAATATCCAGTATAAAATGGTATGCAATACAAAGGAATGGCTATATACGTTTCAATGGCTTAAATAGCATTATCTGTCAAGTGTTATACGATTTATGACTATGCTTACACAGACATAGTGAAACTTTTCACAGCGAAGAACAGAATTCCTCAGAGTGCAGCGTAAGGTCGTAAAGTTTAGCCGACAGTTAGAATAACCCTTTCAATGCTGGCTAGATCTCCTAGGTAGTTAAGATCTATTCTGATGTAATTTTTAAATAAAATAACATTTAAACCAGTTCATTAGTCATTTCCTGGAACCATCCAATAAGAGAATCTACCATATTATATAAGCAGATTTTAATTTGTCTAAAAGATATCTTATCTTAATTTAGAGCAAATCAATACATCTGGATAAAAACAACGGTATGCTAACACGTGATAATATCACATCAATATATAATTATTCTTAATTCCACCTGCAGAATGGAATGTTTATAACTATATATTCTTTGTTAACTAAGATGTCTTAATATGGAAATCTGACCGTGCTTTATCCTAGTCATATATCATGCTATTAATACATTTTAATTAATTTAATTAAATGAAACCAGTATAATTACCAGTTGAGTAGATATTTCATCCGATTGGTAGTCTCAGGAACTTATTTGGATGTCTCTCTGCATGGAGGTTGGAGTCCCCAACTTCCAATTCCTCTCTCCTCTTTTTCTTTGCATATCTCTTGCATCTGCCTGCATACCCTGCCTTCCCTTTGTCTTAACTTTTAAAGGGCCAGATTCTCTGTACGTCACCAGTTGATAACCCAATAGAAGCATTAGAGGTGTGGTTATCTTCCAGATCGCAATTTAGGTATTTAGTCTATAGAGGGCAGTCTTGTCCCACTAAACATACCTATCCAGGAAAGAGTTAACTTTTCCTGGTGGCTATTTTGACGTCATGTTGCGTTATCTTTATAGTGCCATAACTTAAAATTTCAAAGGGTTTCTTAAATTTTGTCCAGACTTAGTGTCTGCAATTCCTGCCATAATTTCTGATATGACAGATCATGAACTAAGTTTACCCTTTTCCATACAATGGTACCTTATATATATAGACAGTTAAATATTAAATTATTTAATCTTCTCTGTCACAATTGTCTGGGTTTAGAATTGATTATATTCTTCTTATCACTTGTTTATACTATGCTATGCATTCCTTAGCTCTGGCAAAAATGGCTAGTTTTACAGATAGAAATGTTGTGTCTTTTTGTTAACTTGAAATAACAAAATGGAGTCTGGTCTGTTCAGAGTGACTCAGAATATACACTTTTAGTTTCTATCATAGCACAAGATGTCTGCCGATATAAATACTCTGACAACTTGCACCACGCTTTATAGGGACTGTGCCCTAACACTCATTTGTCCACTCCTCTCCAGAAGCTCCTGTTATACAGTATAAATATATACATGTGAAGGGTTATTCATGGATTCCTGACAGATATCAGTGTTACAATGTAACTTGCATTAATTTTGAAAAAAATGGTTTGGAAATAGCAAGGTGCTACTTGTACTTATAGCCCTATAACTTAAAAAAAAAAGAAGCTAATAACATATTAACATTGGGTATTTCTAACTCAGGACAAAATTTAGAAACTATTTAGCATGGGTGTTTTTTGGCGGTTGTAGATGCGTAAAAGATTTTGGGGTCAAAGTTAGAAAAGGTGTGTTTTTTTACATTTTTTTCATCATATGTTATCATTTTTTTATAGTAAATTATATGATATGATGAAAATAATGGTATCTTTAGAAAGACCATTTAATGGCGAGAAAAAATGTATATAATATGTGTGGGCACAGTAAATGAGTAAGAGGAAAATTACAGCTAAACACAAACACAGCAGAAATGTAAAAACAGCCCTGGTCCCAAACGGTAAGAAAATGTAAAAATGGTCTGCTGGGGGTTAAACAAACAAGTTTAATACAATCTTACTTGTTTTATGGTGTTGTCTATGTTTGCTGCTTTTTTTTTTTTTTCATTTTAAGATATTAAAGGGACACTATAGTCACCTGAACAACTTTAGCTTACTGAAGCAGTTTTGGTGTATAAAACATGCCCCTGCAGCATCACTGCTCAATCCTCTGACATTTAGGAGTTAAATCCCTTTGTTGACTTGCACAGCCTTCCATAAACCCTTCCTGTAAAGAGAGCCCTATTTAGGCTTTCTTTATTGCAAGTTCTGTTTAATTAAGATTTTCTTATCCCCTGCTATGTTAATAGCTTGCTAGACCCTGCAAGAGCCTCCTGTATGTGATTAAAGTTTAATTTAGAGATTGAGATACAATTATTTAAAGGACCACTCTAGGCACCCAGACCACTTCAGCTTAATGAAGTGGTCTGGGTGCCAGGTCCAGCTAGGGTTAACCCATTTTTTCATAAACATAGCAGTTTCAGAGAAACTGCTATGTTTATGAATGGGTTAAGCCTTCCCCTAATCCTCTAGTGGCTGTCTCATTGACAGCCACTAGAGGCGCTTGCGTGCTTCTCACTGTGATTTTCACAGTGAGAGCACGCAAGCCTATAGGACAGCTCTTGCCGCGCGTGCGCATTCAGCCCAGGAGGAGGATCGGAGGAGGAGAGCTCCCCGCCCAGCGCTGGAAAAAGGTAAGTTTAACCCCCTTTCCAGAGCCGGGCGGGAGGGGGTCCCTGAGGGGGGGGCACCCTCAGGGCACTATAGTGCCAGGAAAACGAGTATGTTTTCCTGGCACTATAGTGGTCCTTTAAGGTAAATTACATCTGTTTGAAAGTGAAACCAGTTTTTTTTTCATGCAGGCTCTGTCAATCATAGCCAGGGGAGGTGTGGCTAGGGCTGCATAAACAGAAACAAAGTGATTTAACTCTGGAGAGGGTACATAAGGAGGACCTCCCAGGTGGCAGGCCTCTTACTCCTCTCCACTCCCACCACACGCGGGCTGCGATACCGGAGGTTATTTTCCTGCGGCCCGGTGATGGTGAAGGTAGGCGGTGATGAGAGAGGGGGAAGGCCCAGGCGATGGGTGCCGTGCAGTGGTGTGAGGCCAACGAGCTGCGAGACACAACACGTGGGGCCGCCAGAGACATACTCCGTGGCCCCGGCATGCAGGACATTGGAGGAGGCGGCTAAATGGCCATCTCCCGCAACGTCCGCGCAAAGAAGCCCACAGACGGGTAAAACTGAGAGGAGAAGAGAGAGAGCCTGGCAGCTAAGGTATAAGAGAAATATCAGAGAAGGAAAGGCATATAGGCATAAAATACACAGGATATCTAACCAAACTATGCACCATATATACACATATATATCCATTAAATCCCACAGCCACCCACTAAGAGCAGGAGGCAGTGGTACTCTGACCTGTGCTTGATGTGGAGCAGCAAAGAAGGAGGAAGTAGTTGGTTGGGAGGGGACCTTTATTGTTTCTTACTTTTTTATGATTGGTTGTTTTTCTCTATGTTAATGTGCATCTGTGGAGTTCTAGTAAAGAGAGACTTAAGCAAATATGAAGCCTCCTGTCATGTTATAAAATTGTGATAACTAACAAACATTCCACAATATAAATGTTTCTGAATAAACTTTGTCACTTTAACAAAAAAGTGCCTCATAGCCCAATCGTTGGCTGTTTCCAGGTATCTCTACGTGTTATTACGGCTTACACAGGAGTTGTTTGTTTATTGACCCACCATACCCGGTGTTTCTGCAGGTGTGACCCAGGCTGGGACGGGAAGTTTTGTGAAAACTGTGTGAGAATGCCAGGCTGCGTTCATGGGTCATGTCATCAGCCCTGGCAGTGCATGTGCCACCCTGGTTGGGCCGGAAAGTTTTGCGACAAAGGTTTGTATTCGTGTTAGCGTCACATTATTAATTGTTATGGTAACAGAGCCATTTGTAACAGTAGCCCATCTTAGTGCTAGCGGACTGCTTTATCCTCTTTAACTTTCACATTTATATTGATACAGTGTATTATCCTTCTGTGTACATTGTACTATAGTAATGTATTTTATGTCCCTTCCTATGTCAATATATAGGTACTGTGTACGCTCCCTACAGTGTATATCGGGATTTGTATACTCCCTGACCTGTGGAAACATTAATGCTATGTACCACTTTCATGTATTTTTTTATGTTTAACCAAAGACTGGCGTGGGTATGTTAGCTTGGGGCAGGAGCAAAGGCAAGGTGAGGGAGCCGTTCGCGCCGAGTGTGGGAGCCATTCATGCCGGGTGTGGGGTTGAGGGAGCCATTCGCACCTGGTGTGGGGTTGAGGGAGCCATTCATGCCGGGTGTGGGGTTGAGGAAGCCATTTGCGCTGGGTGTGGGAGCCATTCACGCCGGGTGTGGGGTTGAGAGAGCCATTCGCACCAGGTGTGGGATTGAGGGTGCCATTCACGCCGGGTGTAAGGTGAGGGAGCCATTCGTGCCAGTTGTGGGAGCCCTCGTGCCGGGTATGGGGTGAGGGAGCCATTTGCGCCGGGTGTGGGGTTGAGGGAGCCATTTGCGCCGGGTGTAGGAGCCCTCGTGCCGGGTGTGGGGTGAGGGAGCCATTCGCGCCAGGTGTGGGTTTGAGGGAGCCATTCGCGCCGGGTGTGGGTTTGAGGGAGCCATTCGTGCCGGGTGTGGGAGCCCTCGTGCAGGGTGTGGGGTTGAGGGAGCCATTCGCGCCAGGTGTGGGAGCCCGCATGCTGGGTGTGGGGTTGAGGGAGCCATTGGTGTGGGGTGAGGGAGCCAATCGTGCCGGATGTGTGTGCACAAGGAAGCTACTCAGGCCGGGAGGGTTAGCTTGGGGCAGGAGCAAAGGCAAGGTGAGGGAGCAATTCGCACCGGGTGTGGGGTTGAGGGAGCTATTCACGCCGGGTGTAAGGTGAGGGAGCCATTCGTGCCGGGTGTCGGGTAAGGGAGCCATTTGAGCAGGGTGTGCGGTTGAGGGAGCCATTCACACCGGGTTTGGGGTTGAGGGAGCCATTTGCACCGGGTGTGGGAGCCCTCATGCTGGGTGTGCGGTTGAGGGAGCCATTCACACCGGGTGTGGGGTTGAGGGAGCCATTCGCGTCGGGTGTGGGGTTGAGGGAGCCATTCGCGCCGGGTGTGGGGTTGAGGGAGCCATTCGCGCCCGGTGTGGGGTGAGGGAGCCATTCGTGCCGGATGTGGGTGCTAACTGCTCAGTGTGTGCATGAGGAAGCTACTCAGGCAGGGGGGATGTTGGTGAGGGAACAGTGAAGTACCGGATGGAAAGAAGAGTTATCATACTCCTGTATTGACCTTCAGATTCAGAATATCATCTCTCCTGTGTCTTTTTCAGTTTCATTACAAAATAAAAAAAACACATAAGGTTAATCACTAAAATGTGAATTGGTGGACATTTTAGGTTAGAAAAATGAAACTGAAAACATGTCCGACTTAGAGAATTTTACCAGCTTGTGAATTTCACTTTGGACACTTTAATGAAAACCTTGATAGATACGTTTGTAATTCACATTGTACGGCTGATAATGTTTAAACCTGACATATTCTTGCTTCCTCAGATATTTATATCTGTGAACACTCCCATCCATGCCAAAATGAGGCTGAGTGTTTGATTGAGGCCGATGGTGACTACTCCTGTCTCTGCCAAGAGCCCTTCCATGGCAAGAACTGTGAACTCAAGAGGGGACCATGTGAAATAGCCGAGTAAGTGTTCCCAGGGACTGCTCATGGGGCAGTGGTTGGGATAAGAGGAGATGGCAGACCTTCATTTTCATCATCTACTGCGGTGATTACTGACCTTATCACCCCAGACATCTCTAAACTACATTTCCCATGATGCTCCAGTTTTTAAGACTGCCATCTCTGAGATCTCTCTATTTTAGAGGATACAAGACTCAGCCAAGTCATTACCTCGTTATATATTTATAGGGGCAAAAAAAGAGAGAACAATCACCAAAAAACTAAAATCACAATACCATAACCATTAGCACCATCTTGTGGCTCACTAGTAAACTAGATCTGTGAGTGGCATCATGTTTTTTACTGTAACTTAGATCCCTTCGAGCCAACTTGTATCTAAGAACCATTATAGGCATATCTAATCTAGATGCAATGGCTCCATTGTGTATCTGTACCGTAACCAGGGTCGACTAATGGAATTGTTTGATTGAACTTTAACCTAGATCTGTGAGTTCCATCTTGTGTCCATTAATGGTCTGCAATGTAATTCTACTCAAACTGTCCCAGGTTTAATCTTAACAGCTGCACAATATATGTTAACACTGTGTGCAAGCTAACAGTATGAGATGCTTAATTGCCTCCAGAAATTCACTTTTATTGATGGATATATGATAAAAGTTGAAAAAAACAAACATTTGGCCTAGTGTTGGAGTTAACTTTATCCCAATAATAATAAAATTCAAGAATTTTAAGAATTAATTTAGAATCTGTATAAGGTAATTTTAAATTCTTAAACAGATTCAAACACAGCCCTAATACTCTTAAATCTAAATGCCGAACCTAGAACTCTACATCTATTCATATATATACAATTTAAACTTGGCTTCTAAATCTTAATGTTTAAAATGTGGCATGGTTACTGCTCAACAACGTTAACATGAAAATTGGGGTTAGCGATGAAGCAATGATAATGCAAAATGTGAAAATGTTGTCAATTATTCAGAAAAGATTGACACATGTCTCAATACCAAGTGCTTGTATCTGATAAGGCAAAAGTATCATGGTCCTGGTCATGGTTGTGCAGAGATAGGTAGAACATGAAATATTTAATGTGTTGATAAAAGTCTCAGAAATCATAGTTCAAAATAGCTTTAGAGCTGAACTATTTTGAAGACCAGGGTGTAAACTGCATGGGGGACTTCGATCAGTTTCTGGGTTCCTGGACAGAACTATACTCAATGGATTTTTTTTCATGCTTCCACCCTGCAGATTTCCATGTTTAAATGGTGGAACATGCCAAGATGAGCGTGGATATGCAGATACATTTGTGTGCCGCTGCCTTGCTGGATATGTCGGCAGACTGTGTGAAGTAGACGTTGATGATTGCCTGATGCGTCCTTGTGCCAATGGGGCCACATGTCATGATGGGGTGAACAGATTTTCCTGTGAATGTCCTCTGGGTTTCCAAGGTCGTTTCTGTACAGTCAATATTGACGATTGTGCCAGCAAGCCATGTCATAATGGGGGGAGGTGTTTTGATCGTGTGGGGAACTATGAGTGCTACTGCCCAGAAGGGTTTCTTGGGAAATCATGCGAGTTCCCTTTGCCCAAACCAACTTGGGATTATGACCAAAGTACATCGGCTGTTGACATTGAAGCCACATGGGCTTCTCCCAGAGTAACTCAGCCTGTTAGGACTGTAGGCATAAACAAGCTGGGAACAGGGATGAGTGAGAAGCCTGGTGGAGGGAACATCCAAATATCTGTAAAAGAGGTATTTACACAAAAAGAACATGGACTAAGTGAAGTACAGATCATCATTGTGGCAGTTTTTGGTGGCATGACTGGCATGCTTGTCCTAATCACTGTGACCGTCCTCCTGTGGTACAGAAATAGAGGTGTCAGGATGGTGGCCTGTTGCAGGGATTCTCCATCTGCCCCCAAAACACACTATCATGAATGCCAGGAAACTTCATCGAACAACCGCAAAACCACTGCCTTTTAAACTCTACCATGTTGGGGAAAAAAATGAGATGTCTCACCTGACTTTTAGTTTAGTAAAAGACATGGCTGCAGTACATCAGGCGATGAAATAAGAAGCATATAAATAGAACAGATGGATTAACAGACTTTGAAGTTTTAGTGGCTAAAACATAGAACACTACAGTTATATGCTACATGACGACTTGTGGCGGAAATAGGAAAGACATAATAAGCTTCTGTTTAACATGTAATGTGCTTAAATGATCAACTTTCTGGTGGACACTTTTTTTTTTTTTACCAGTGGAACTACTCTGATCTTATCATTGGCTTCTCATCTGTCCTCATGGAGCTACCCTGATCTCTCTATTTTAGAGGATACAAGACTCAGCCAAGTCATTACCTCGTTATATATTTATAGGGGCAAAAAAAGAGAGAACAATCACCAAAAAACTAAAATCACAATACCATAACCATTAGCACCATTGGCTTCCCATCTGTCCCCGTGGAGCTACCCTGATCTCATCATTGGCTTCTCACCCGTCCCCGTGGAGCTACCCTGATCTCATCATTGGCTTCTCACCCGTCCCCGTGGAGCTACTCTGATCTCATCATTGGCTTCTCACCCGTCCCCATGGAGCTAACCTGATCTCATCATTGGCTTCTCACCTGTCCCCGTGGAGCTACTGTCTTGTCAGATTACCCACTGGACATAGCCCAACCTCAGTGCAGCTTTGTTACATGTCCTAGTGGACCAATGACTGCAGCAGTATGGAGGTTTACCATCTTTTAAATATATAAATAAAATGTGATCACATGAACATATGTGATAAGGAGGAATTCTCCTTTTGCAGGTTCTTGCCTTTTTTTATTTAGCTGTTTTGAAAGATGTGCAGATGCATGACTGTTAAACTGTCATATGAAAAATATTTAAAAATGCCTTTTGTGTGTTAAATAAAGATGTATGGATACTTTTCAGGGCCAGCAGGTCTGTGTGCATGTTACTCTCTATAAATGCAAAGCATGTACGACTGCAGTGAGCAGGACAAGTGTTACTACCAAATGTTAGCTCACTACGGATTGTATCATACATAGCAAGTGATCTCCTCTGATAGCCATGAATGATGCACACAGGGAGTACTCTGGTAGCTACCACAGCAGTAGGAGAATCATCATGATGTGAATAGATACACTTAAACTGTGAATGAATGGGGCCAACAAAGAAACAGAAAATACCTAGTGTTTCTTCACTGTAGAGTGCGGGGTAGAAAACGTTCCAAAGCCACATCCAATGTCAAATCCCAGACTTTCCAGTCGGGGCAGGTGTATGAGAAGGGACTCTTGCTGGAAAGTGTTTTAGGTTTGATAAAATCACCATATAGTTGAAACATTACCAGATCCACAGTTTAATTTAAAACCATATTCACACGTTTGGATTTGGTGAAGAGTCTCCATTTATCTTTTAAGAATGCTCTGGAGAAGTGTTAAAGTATGGATTCTATGCATTTATAAATGACTTTATTTGGGCCTACTCACTCTACAGTGTCTGCATTTCTCTTCTATTCATCATGCAGACATACTGTCTCATTATCTACTCATCACACAGTGTCTACCTTAGGGTCTCATTATCTCATCATGCAGTGTCCACCTTACTGTCTTATCATGCACCTTACTGTCTCATTATCTCATCATGCAGTGTCCACCTTACTGTCTCATTATCTCATCATGCAGTGTCCACCTTACAGTCTCATCATGCAGTGTCTACCATATTGTCTTATCTTATCATGCAGTGTCCACCTTACTGTCTCATTATCTCATCATGCAGTGTCCACCTTACTGTCTCATCATGCAGTGTCCACCTTACGATCTCATTATCTAATCATCATGCAGTGTCCACCTTAGGGTCTCATTATCTCATCATGCAGTGTCCACCTTACTGTCTCATCATGCAGTGTCCATATTACTGTCTCATTATCTCATCATCCACCTTACTGCCTCGTTTGCTCATTTTCCCAAACCACTGCTCGAAAAGCTTCTCACTCTGCAGTGTTTACATTACTGTCTTTACAGCCTGTCTACTAATATTGATATGTCCACCTTAGTGCCTCAACATATTCTAATTCTGCTGTGTTCACAATTTTTCATCTGCGCTCTCTGCAGTGTCCATCTTACTAACTGGTGGTCAAACACCACCATACCTGATGCAACAAGTTTGTCACCTACTAAGCCTGTTGTGTTCACATTACTTACTGCCTTGAGGTACTTATCAGCCACTGATTTCTAGCAATTTAACATCTCCTGCTAATACTGCTTATTAAGAGTGTAACCTCATGAGCAATCTATCTTAGTACTTTATATAAAAGGGCTGTAAATGCTAGGCCACGAGTGGGGGCCTCTGTTTTGTCTAAACAGTACAGTCTATTTTCTCCTAGTTGTACAGTGCTGTGGAATAGGTTGGTGCTTTAGAAATGAGGATAAGATTAATAATATGTAAAAAACATCCCTTAAAGAACATTTATAAAGCATGATAAAATATCCAGCATCTCCAGGACCTCAACTAACGCCAGCTGAGAGGAAAGAGAAAAACAGAATTTACTGAATGGAAAACCCACAAAGTTTACTTATTGATTTCCACCCTATGAAGAGTTATTTCTCAGGTCAATGGATTTGGCAAATGGAGAAAGAAAGTGAAGGAGTGTCCGGCGCGTGAAATGTGGCTCCTCAGCATCTTCTCCAACAACAAACAGGATCTGTGTGGGCCAACAAAATCTGGAAATCTGTATTGTGCCCGGCCGTTGAGCTCATTAATGAATCCACTGTTACAAAAGCCTAACAGCAAACTTTGCAACCCGCCAGGAAAGCACCTTTTGAGGGAAGGTGCCTGGTGCCTAAGTGAAACAAAACGCTCCCTGAGAGCCAGGCGGAGAACCAAGTATGGCAGCCGCAGGATCTCCCGTAATTTGACCAGCCAAAGCACACATTGCTATTGAACTATTTTGGGCGTAGGAATATGTGTGCGGCCAGTCAGAACTTTGACACGGTGGCATTTCCCCTACACTGAATTAATCTGAGTGCTATTTGGGCGCTCATATCGGGGATGTTTGGGAATGCAGGACAGTTTTATATGTTTTTATGATGTTTAGGGGTACTTTTATGTTTGGTTTTCTGTTCCTGGGAGATAATTAGCTTACCGGTCTTTAACTCAATTATCTCCCAGGAACAGAGATCTCTGAGAGAGGCTTATATTGTATTGTTTGGAGACCCCATGCTGGGGGTCGTGTATATAAGTAGGCAGCTTGGCCTAAATAAACCAGTTCCTTTTCACCCTTCACTCAGTCTCGACTAGTGTTTGGGTGGATCAGCTATACTCTCACGAGAGCTTAATCACTTGAAGCTGTACCCAGGATCCTCCCATTCATGTACAGGCTCCTCCCAATCAGACATGCTCCTCCCATTCATGTACAGGCTCCTCCCAGACATGCTCCTCCCATTCATGTACAGGCTCCTCCCAGACATGCTCCTCCCAATCATGTACAAGCTCCTCCCAATCATACATGCTCCTCCCATTCATGTACAAGCTCCTCCCAATCAGACATGCTCCTCCCATTCATGTACAAGCTCCTACCAATCAGACATGCTCCTCCCATTCATGTACAAGCTCCTCCCAATCAGATATGCTCCTCCCATTCATGTACAAGCTCCTCCCAATCAGACATGCTCCTCACATTCATGTACAGGCTCCTCCCAATCAGACATGCTCCTCCCAATCATGTACAGGCCCCCCACCAATCAGACATGCTCCTCCCAATCATGTACAAGCGCCTCCCAATCAGACATGCTCCTCCCATTCATGTACAAACTCCTCCCAATCAGACATGCTCCTCCCAATCATGTACAAGCTCCTCCCAATCAGACATGCTCCTCCCATTCATGTACAAGCTCCTCCCAATCAGACATGCTCCTCCCATTCATGTACAAGCTCCTCCCAATCAGACATGCCCCTCCCATTCATGTACAGGCTCCTCCCATTCATGTACAGGCTCCTCCCAATCAGACATACTACTCCCATTCATGTACAGGCTCCCCCCATTCAGACATGCTCCTCCCAATCATGTACAAACTCCCCCCAATCAGACATGCTCCTCCCAATCATGTACAAGCTCCTCCCAATCAGACATGCTCCTCCCATTCATGTACAAGCTCCTCCCAATCAGACATGCCCATGTACAGGCTCCTCCCATTTATGTAAGACTCCTCCCAATCAGACATGCTCCTCCCATTCATGTACAATCAGACATGCTCCTCCCATTCATGTACAATCAGACATGTTCCTCCCATTCATGTACAGGCTCCTCCTAATCATGTACAAGCTCCTCCCATTCATGTACAGGCTCCTCCCATTCATGTACAGGCTCCTCCCAATCAGACATGCTCCCAATCAGACATGCTCCTCCCATTCATGTACAGGCTCCTCCCAATCAGACATGCTCCTCCCATTCATGAACAGGCTCCTCCCAATCAGACATGCTCCTCCCATTCATGTACAGGCTCCTCCCAATCAGACATGCTCCCAATCAGACATGCTCCTCCCATTCATGTACAGGTTATTCCCAATCAGACATGCTCCTCCCATTCATGTACAGGCTCCTCCCAATCAGACATGCTCCTCCCATTCATGTACAGGCTCCTCCCAATCAGACATGCTCCTCCCATTCATGTACAGGTTATTCCCAATCAGACATGCTCCTCCCATTCATGTACAAACTCCTCCCAATCAGACATGCTCCTCCCAATCATGTACAAGCTCCTCCCAATCAGACATGCTCCTCCCATTCATGTACAAGCTCCTCCCAATCAGACATGCTCCTCCCATTCATGTACAAGCTCCTCCCAATCAGACATGCCCCTCCCATTCATGTACAGGCTCCTCCCATTCATGTACAGGCTCCTCCCAATCAGACATACTACTCCCATTCATGTACAGGCTCCCCCCATTCAGACATGCTCCTCCCAATCATGTACAAACTCCCCCCAATCAGACATGCTCCTCCCAATCATGTACAAGCTCCTCCCAATCAGACATGCTCCTCCCATTCATGTACAAGCTCCTCCCAATCAGACATGCCCATGTACAGGCTCCTCCCATTTATGTAAGACTCCTCCCAATCAGACATGCTCCTCCCATTCATGTACAATCAGACATGCTCCTCCCATTCATGTACAATCAGACATGTTCCTCCCATTCATGTACAGGCTCCTCCTAATCATGTACAAGCTCCTCCCATTCATGTACAGGCTCCTCCCATTCATGTACAGGCTCCTCCCAATCAGACATGCTCCTCCCATTCATCAGACAGGCTCCTCAATCAGACATGCTCCTCCCAATCAGTACAGGCTCCTCCCAATCAGACATGCTCCCAATCAGACATGCTCCTCCCATTCATGTACAGCCTCCTCCCAATCAGACATGCTCCTCCCATTCATGTACAGGCTCCTCCCAATCAGACATGCTCCTCCCATTCATGTACAGGCTCCTCCCAATCAGACATGCTCTCAATTCATGTACAGGCTCCTCCCAATCAGACATGCTCCTCCCATTCATGTACAGGCTCCTCCCAATCAGACATGCTCCTCCCATTCATGTACAGGCTCCTCCCAATCAGACATGCTCCTCCCATTCATGAACAGGCTCCTCCCAATCAGACATGCTCCTCCCATTCATGTACAGGCTCCTCCCAATCAGACATGCTCCCAATCAGACATGCTCCTCCCATTCATGTACAGGTTATTCCCAATCAGACATGCTCCTCCCATTCATGTACAGGCTCCTCCCAATCAGACATGCTCCTCCCATTCATGTACAGGCTCCTCCCAATCAGACATGCTCCTCCCATTCATGTACAGGTTATTCCCAATCAGACATGGTCCAAATGAATCTAGTTCTCATGGAGAAAGCTTCTGCCACTCACATCCAGACTCCCCTTCAAGAGGGTTCTCCATTTTCAGCAGTTCTTCCTATTCTATAAAGATTCAGATTTGGCCGCTTTGTATTAGTTGGTAAAAACGAGATTCCTTCTTGTTGCAGAGAATTGTGGGAGAATCCAGTTCTGCCACCTTCCCAGCATGCATCACAAGAACACGGTCAGAATCCAAGATAGTGTTCAGCCTATTGTAAGAGAATAACAGACAGCATTAAATGATACCTGGGCCATCTCACACCATGTCCTCGAGTCTTACGATCATATAACAAATAAACACAGTAAAACATCAGGACTCACTGCCATACAACTAATCCACTGCTTTATAGGACTCACTGCCATACAACGAATCCGCATCCTACCACACTGCTTTATAGGACTCACTGCCATACAAAGAATCCGCATCCTACCACACTGCTTTATAGGACTCACTGCCATAACTAATCCACATCCTACCACACTGCTTTATAGGACTCACTGCCATACAACTAATCCACATCCTACCACACTGCTTTATAGGACTCACTGCCATATAACTAATCCACATCACACCACACTGCTTTATAGGACTCACTGCCATACAACTAATCCACATCCTACCACACTGCTTTATAGGACTCACTGCCATACAACTAATCCACATCTTACCAGACTGCTTTATAGGACTCATTGCCATATAACTAATCCACATCATACCACACTGCTTTATAGGACTCACTGCCATACAACTAATCCACATCCTACCACACTGCTTTATAGGACTCACTGCCATATAACTAATCCACATCCTACCACACTGCTTTATAGGACTCACTGCCATATAACTAATCCGTATCATACCACACTGCTTTATAGGACTCACTGCCATAACTAATCCACATCACACCACACTGCTTTATAGGACTCACTGCCATACAACTAATCCACATCCTACCACACTGCTTTATAGGACTCACTGCCATATAACTAATCCACATCCTACCACACTGCTTTATAGGACTCACTGCCATATAACTAATCCACATCCTACCACACTGCTTTATAGGACTCACTGCCATACAACTAATCCACATCTTACCACACTGCTTTATAGGACTCACTGCCATACAACTAATCCACATCCTACCACACTGCTTTATAGGACTCACTGCCATATAACTAATCCACATCTTACCACACTGCTTTATAGGACTCACTGCCATACAACTAATCCACATCCTACCACACTGCTTTATAGGACTCACTGCCATATAACTAATCCGTATCATACTGTGCTGCTTTATAGGACTCACTGCCATATAACTAATCCGTATCATACTGTGCTGCTTTATAGGACTCACTGCCATATAACTAATCCACATCATACCGTGCTGCTTTATAGGACTCACTGCCATATAACGAATCCGCATCCTACCACACTGCTTTATAGGACTCACTGCCATACAACTAATCCACATCCTACCACACTGCTTTATAGGACTCACTGCCATACAACTAATCCACATCCTACCACACTGCTTTATAGGACTCACTGCTATATAACTAATCCGCATCATACCAGGCTGCTTTATAGGACTCACTGCCATATAATGAATCTGCATCATACCAGGCTGCTTTATAGGACTCACTGCCATATAACTAATCCACATCCTACCACACTGCTTTATAGGACTCACTGCCATATAACTAATCCACATCCTACCACACTGCTTTATAGGACTCACTGCCATACAACTAATCCACATCATACCAGGCTGCTTTATAGGACTCACTGCCATACAACTAATCCACATCCTACCACACTGCTTTATAGGACTCACTGCCATATAACTAATCCGTATCATACTGTGCTGCTTTATAGGACTCACTGCCATATAACTAATCCGTATCATACTGTGCTGCTTTATAGGACTCACTGCCATATAACTAATCCACATCATACCGTGCTGCTTTATAGGACTCACTGCCATATAACTAATCCACATCACACCATGCTGCTTTATAGAACTCACTGCCATACAACTAATCCACATCCTACCACACTGCTTTATAGGACTCACTGCTATATAACTAATCTGCATCATACCATGCTGCTTTATAGGACTCACTGCCATATAATGAATCTGCATCATACCAAGCTGCTTTATAGGACTCACTGCCATATAACTAATCCACATTATACCATGCTGCTTTATAGGACTCACTGCCATATAACTAATCCACATCATGCCATGCTGCTTTATAGGACTCACTGCCATATAACTAATCCACATCATACCACACTGCTTTATAGGACTCACTGCCATATAACTAACCCACATCACACCATGCTGCTTTATAGGACTCACTGCCATAACGAATCCGCATCATACCAGGCTGCTTCATAGGACTCACTGCTATATAACTAATCCACATCATACCACACTGCTTTATAGGACTCACTGCCATATAACTAATCCGCATCATACCAGGCTGCTTTATAGGACTCACTGCTATATAACTAATCCGCATCATACCATGCTGCTTTATAGGACTCACTGCCATATAACTAATCCACATCATACCAAAAGCACTCACTGCCATATAACTAATCCACATCATACCGCTGCTTTATAGGACTCACTGCCATATAATTAATCCACGTCATACCACACTGCTTTTTAGGACTCACTGCCATATAACTAATCCACATCATACCATGCTGCTTTATAGGACTCACTGCCATATAATTAATCCACGTCATACCACACTGCTTTTTAGGACTCACTGCCATATAACTAACCCACATCATAACATGCTGCTTTATAGGACTCACTGCCATATAATTAATCCACGTCATACCACACTGCTTTTTAGGACTCACTGCCATATAACTAACCCACATCATAACATGCTGCTTTATAGGACTCACTGCCATATAATTAATCCACGTCATACCACACTGCTTTTTAGGACTCACTGCCATATAACTAACCCACATCATAACATGCTGCTTTATAGGACTCACTGCCATATAATTAATCCACGTCATACCACACTGCTTTTTAGGACTCACTGCCATATAACTAACCCACATCATAACATGCTGCTTTATAGGACTCACTGCCATATAATTAATCCACGTCATACCACACTGCTTTTTAGGACTCACTGCCATATAACTAACCCACATCATAACATGCTGCTTCATAGGACTCACTGCCATATAACTAATCCACATCATACCGTGCTGCTTTATAGGACTCACTGCCGTATAACTAATCCACATCATACCGTGCTGCTTTATAGAACTCTCTGTGTTGGGGTATATGTTGCAGGGTAGTACGCTCTGTGTTGGGGTATATGTTGCAGGGTAGTACGCTCTGTGTTGGGGTATATGTTGCGAAGTAGAGTGTGCTGTGGGTAAAATCATGGTGCAGTATTTTTTGTGATGACGTACAACTCACGAGGCAGAATAATTTGCGATGTAATATAAGTCACGAGTCAGGGTGTCCTGTATAAGTGTGTCCTGTATAGAAGTCACAGTGCAGTGTGTTTTCTGATGGTGTGTAACTCCCAGTGCAGTGTGTTTTGTGAAGGTGCGTGTGGCAGAACCTCTGCTTGTTGCTGAATTTCTGTATTATATTCTTTGTGTTTTCCCTTTATTTTCGTATAAATGTGTCTGCTCCCCATTCGGGAAGTCGTCCACGAAGGGAATGCATTCACCTCCCAAACGGAGACCACCCCGACAATTCGTTTAGAAAGTTTGCGCCTCATAACGAGGTGTCAAAACCACAAACTACAAGGGAAGCCTCGGCGCTTGCCTCCCTTGGGTGGCAGCACGTTCGCTAGACAAATGCCATCCGGGGGGAGCATTCATGGATTGCTTCCCACCTCGTTCGGTTCCCGAACGAGGGCCTCCCCAGTGCCCCTTGGAGTGTTCGCACCAATCAATTGGAACGTTTGCAACTTGCAACATAAATGTGAAACCACAAGGGAAATAATTAAAGAGTGCTTCCCTGAGTGGCCGCCATTCATATAGACGAACGGGGGGCAGGGGGGGCATGTGTGTCCCGAACAGAGACGTTTCCCTTGCCTGGCTTCACCCAGGGACCCCACGAGCTGTTCGTGGCGGTTACTGTTTTGGGGGTCCCTGAGATTGGTGGGGACACTCTATGGGGATAATGGCAGTTTGGCGGGCTTTCAGTAGCTGGGAGTCAAAGAGGCGTAAAGCTTTCCTGCGCACAGAGGCTCATGGGATGAAGACCCCCTTGTCACCGGAGGTGGGTAACCCTTAAGATGGGTGGCAGGAACAGGGGACAAAGGGACTGGGGTTCCAGTTCTGTTATACGACCCCTGGGAGGGGACATTGTCTTTATGTGTGATCCACCCCTTGCATGGGGAAAAGTATAAAGTCGAGTGAGGCCAATAAAGGAGGACTGTGTGTCACCCGGTTAGTGGGTGGGAAATGGTTCCCTCTGCATTATAACTGATTCCCTTCCAGAGAAAGACGTGGCTGAGCAAGGGCAACCAGTAGGGTTGCTAAGAGGTCCGCTACAACTGGTGGCAAGCGGCGGAATCCCACGTCCCAGCCACACGGAACCAGCGTTTGTCGAACAGACCCATGGACTACACCACTCTAAGGAGACAAACATTACACGACCTGGTGGAAGCCAAAGGGTTATCAGCTGGAAGTCGTAACAAGGCTGACCTGACAGCAGCCCTCATGGAAGATGACCGTACACGCAGGGAGGCAGCTGTGCCACAGCCGGAGGGCGAAGAAGATGCTATGTGCAGAGAAGTAGCCTGGTGTCTGACACTCTAAAAGGAGACCCTCTCAGAGGAAACCATTAACCGAATTCTCTCTGAGAACCCCCCACAACCATACGAATGATGGACCAGAGAGGTCCCCAGAAGTTTCCGACCATCCCGGCCCGAAAGCCCAAGTTGCCTTTTGCTGCCTTCAAAGAGTTCAAG